TATATATATATATATATATATCTAACGTTTAGTGATCAACAAGTCGATGAGCAAATTTATCATCCTAATTTTATTTTAAGAATAAAAGATCTTTCAGGGATCATTTTTAAATTCATAATGGCTATACAGTAGGATGATTGAAAATTATTACTTGTGGGTGATATTTTAATATAAATTATTTAAAGTACTATACTCGGAAAATTCGAATTTTTGACATGATAATTTTAAATATTCATCATATCTTTGCATTTCTCCAGGGTGGTAGTACTGTACTAACCAATACAATTTTTTTACAGCCTCGTTTAACACTTTTATATTAGTGTGCAGCCAAGTTGTATAATTACGGACCTTATTTAATGAAGTATCCAAGGTTATTATTTCACCGTGCATATAGTTTATATAATCTTCGCATTGTTGTAATATACTAGGTAAATCTTTAATAGTATTACTCATTTCATCTACAGATAATTTCATTTTATATATATCATCTTTATAATGTTGATATGGATGAAGTTTTACAATAAGTATAAATGTTACTCCTGTAGTAACTAAAAAATGTAGTATAATTGAAAGCGCGATACAAATAATTTTGTCCTTGGAGTATTGGGAACCTGGATTCAATTTTGGTTCTGTACCGTATGGTTCATTCATCTCTTCATCGACTTTTAATCTAAAATGCGTAGTGTTATGTTGGAACCTATGTGATTATGATAAATTTGGTAGAAGACTATATGGTAGAAAATAATTGTTGAAGTAGGATTGAATCAGAACATGTGTTTTTCTTTTGGTTTAAACACGAGTTGAGGTTAGGGTTGTATCTTATATGAATGGTTCATGACTATCCCCCCTAGATTGATTTTTTCATTTTCTCTTTAGATATTGTCATCATTTTTTTGTTAATTTTCAACCTTATTTAAATCATCGTCACAAAATCTTTTTGAATTTCTTGGTGACTGGTTAATGAATAATAATAATAATATGCGTTCTATTTTATATTTTGCCCTATGCTGTTTTTCATTATAAGTATAGAAAGGCAAATCAAGTGTGAGAAATTCAATTCTTTCAATTTTTCCTGAAAATAGAACCCCGGCGTTTTCGAACGATTATGTGCATTTTTATAGCTTCGACACTCGGCCTCTTTATGCGATAACATATTTATACGCGCGGAATATGCAGACCCAGGATGGTTAAGATTCGCGGGGTGCCGAAAATATTTAACCGCTTAAATCTGAAGAAGGGGGGGACGTTTCGGAAGGGATCGAAGTCACGCCCCCATTGAAGCCAAAGGCAAAAACCTACAACACTCGATGTCATAAAACCAAACCAAGCCTCACACAAAATATAACATAATAGAAAAAAATGGTGCGTTTTTTTTTTGGGGGGGGGGGGCCAATCGACCCCCACTTTATTCCAAAGATGAAAGTCTGAAAAGGATATTTTCAAGAGGTCCAATTTATTTCCCCCCGGATTATTTGGAATTCCAATACAAAAAAAATAGTTTAGCCAAGGATTTTGCCTTTTCCCAAAGAAAAACTGGAAACTATATAAAATTTTAAAAGCGAATCCGAATCCACCATGGTTTGTTTAATTTGGCCCAAAATTGCCTGATGGATTTGAACTTCGTTAAACGGGTCAAACCCCATAACCTATTTATGGGCGTCGTTGTTGTTAGGCGAATCCGAACATGCCGCGGGCCTTGGTGGGTTTTGGGTCTCCGAATTGGTTTTGGAAGACCCCGATTCGATCGCCATTTAAATCCCTCTTTTGGGGGAAATTCATTCACGAAAAGATGCCAAAAGAGGCCCAAAGGCGCCAATCCCAAAACAGAATTTTATATAATTTATATTTTTAAATAAACAATGTGCGCCGCTATTTGTTTTTCATCAACGAACGCGAAGGCGCACCCAGTAGCTAAACGCATTTGGCTTTAAAGTTATGCCAACCATATGCCGTAGTTTTGGTATGGTTTGAAAGTTTTTTTTCTTTTTGATATATATAAATTTGATGTGTTTATACAAAGCTCTGAAATTTTCGATTTGAATTCATCGACCATGGTTATCTATATTTTGGTATCGAAAAATGGCTTGTTTTGTTTTGATATTTATGAAATTGAGAATGGGCGAAAGACAAAATTTCAATATATGTTTACTATAAAAAAATTCCATTGTTATCACACACGAAACCTTATACAAGCTTCATCGTTTCGCGAGGATTATTTGAACCCTATTCTGACCATATAAAAGTCCCCTCGTCCATTTCATTTCAGAATATATGAATAAAAAACTTTAACGTACCTCGGCCATAATTCGGAATCCCCGTTGACTCTTCCGAAATTGAAAACGAAAATAAATCCACCGAAAGCCAAATTCCATCAATCAAACAACAAAAACAAAAGATAAAATCTTCAATCTTGTGGAATATATTTTTCATGGTGGGTGCGATGGGTAATTTCGGCGAAAACCGGAAGTCAAGGTTCAAAAAAAGAGAAAGTCCAACCACGACATCTTTGGCGGCGATGTCGACGCATCAAAATTAAAAGAATCCAACCCGACACCCATCGGCGTTTTTTTTTATCCAAACAGACGCGCTTCAACTTAAAAGATCCATTATTCGTTTAATTCCGCCGTGGAAATATCCATACCACCGCTTTTGTTAAATCATCAGGGCGTAACAAAAGTTCATCCCACCAAAATTTAATTAAAATAACGGCGCTCATTTTTTAACTTTTTGGGGGTACGCCAAACCATTTCGAAATCTCGACAAAAAAAACAAGTGGTGTTGTTCCAAAAACAACGTAAAAATTACACATTTAAAGGGCTGTGAAAAAAATCCAGTTGATCGCCAGAAACCCCTGCCTATCTTTCTTAATAATTTGGTTTTATCGGAAGACTAATGGCGTGTGAAAGTGTCTTATTAACACCCCCATGATATTTTTAATAAAAAAAAACATTGGACTTAATTTTTAGACTATTCGAACGAAAAAATGTTGCCCGATAACCAGGTTAGAGCATAAATATCTATTTTTGCGTGAATGACGAGAATTCAAAGGCGCGGGTCTCATAAATTTCGGATTTCTACCAGATCTAGGTTTTAAAAGCGGCAATTGGCAGGTGTCCAGAAAGCAAACATAAACCCCCCACCAAAAAAACCTCGCTTAAAATGGATGCTATTTCTCAAATTAAAGTTGAAACTTTTAGATGCATTTTTATTCATCGCGATTGGAAATAAAAAATGACCATTTTCTAGATGATTTATTCAAGTTCGTTTTTCTTTTTATAATTGGGAAAAATATGTGCCCAATATCTAAAATATGCCACTCCCTCAGAAATATGAATTGTCTTTTCGTCGAAAATAGACCTATTTCCCATTTCGTCTAAGAAATTTAACATCGTTGAAATAAAATTCTCCATCATGACATCCAATGTCATGGAAAATCGGTCAGTGAAAAATATTTGCCAAATTCACCCAAAAGAAGCAGAATTCGCCGAATCAAATAATTCTATCCTTGGCGTCTTTTTAAACATGAAGTATAAAAATCAAGTAAGATGCGCATGTCAAAAGAGCGTTGAAATTTCATACTGGTATCACGTTAAACACGTTTGGGGAAACTGCGACCAAATTTAAGGAGCCATACGCCTTAAAAAAAATACATATCTGAACGCTTGTTGGCTTTTTGTGAAAACCGATGGGGGTGGTTTCCTGACAGCCGCCTTTTTGAGGAATTTTGGAAATAAATGGCGGCGGTGTTTGAGTTTATAAAGATAACCTGAAAAAATAGCACCACCAAAAAGTCTGTGCTGCCAAAGTCTTTTTTTTGAATTCAGTATTTTTGATTCCCCCAAAGAATTTAATTCGGACTTTCTTACTTCACAAAACCCTACCATTCAAATAAGAGTTTCCCGGGGTCCAACTTTTGGATTTTTTTTTACCTCCGCAGTTTTAATTTCTGAGCACTTTCTCTTCACCATATGAAGGGTTCTATGGGAAATTATGGCCCCATCCCACCGATAGGGAAGGTCTTCAGCTTAACACGCGGACAAAAGAGCCTTACCACCCTCTTGGTAATGACTTTTGTGCCATTGGGAATGGGGCCTTTTCAAAATAATTATAAGGACGCTGGCTGACAGGTAATTGAATTCTTTGGACCCCCTAACCTCTTTAGAGGTGCGTTTATATTCTCATCGCCCATTCTGGTATTTTCAGGTTTTGGTGGGGGCACTACCACGCCAACCGCCGACTTAACCATGCAATATCAAATATTTGTGGAACGGTAACCCTGTTTTGGCATTGGTTTGTGGGTATCAGAAAGCTGTGAAGGGCCAACGGCCGCTATAGTGCTGTCAACTATATATAATATAACGCTATTGTAACTGTACGCTAACCTGCTTTTTGTTAATATGTTCTTACCCAATTAAAAAAGGACGTGCGCAGAGGGTTTAATAGAACGATAAAGACTATCGTGTCCCTTGTCAAATGACTTGGCCTCCACAAATTTTCACTCAGTGTGTGATCGCTGCCCAGCTTGGAGTCGATGTTTATAATGCATTTTAATCTGGAAAAAAAATTGGACAGTCCATTGGTTTGACTCTTCGAATTACCTCTGCTTCTACCTTCTTTGGCTTATATCTAACGGCGTCAGCCATTTCTGTCACACTGATCTCTGACGATCTTTTACGCCTCATTCAATTTCTTTCTATATATTCCCTTTTTCTACATCACAATCCTTTATATTGTAGAATGATAAAGAGTTGTTCGCCACATATTGAGTGGGAATGCTTTTTTTCACAGCGACGGTAATGCCCCATCTTTGTCATAGCCGTAGCCCTAATCTGATGGATTCCCACAACGTGTTTGGTGATAGCTATACGTAACTTTACTTGCAAAAAAATTTGCATTTCAGTTAAAAGCGGACTGAAGTGACCAAAATAACGATACTGATACGAATTTGTTGGGCTAAACTCTGTAAATGTTGCAGTTTTCATTGATACGCGTGCCATGTCAAGTGTGGGTGATCTCCATAGGTTGCGGCATTGCTGATCAAGCACCTTTAAAGCCTCAGATTTTCTGCATATTTTGTTTCCTCAAGTCAATTTGACAGTTTGTACAAATATGGAGACAGACTTATACAGATATGTGTCCAGTATTGAAATTATTGGAAAATATGACACTGCGGTTGAAAAATCGACTCTAACTAATAATATTTCTTCCATAGTATTAATGGTATTATTTACCCTTTCAAGAGTTATGTCTACTTAAGGTATATTTAATCCACCTTCTCTCAATCCCTCCGAATATAGCTCGAGATAATTCTGCTTATCTTAACAGCAAATATCATACGCTAAATCTAAAACTAGCGTTTTTATACTCAAGTTATGAAAACCTGTACTTTATGTTTCAACTTTGATATTAAATTTAATTTCTATATTATCACAAATATTTTATGATTTACCTTTCAATGTCTTCAGAGAATCCTTTCCTTAAAGTAAAAATAGAATGAAAGATGTCCATATTCCTAGGAATCGAAATGGGGGTATTTTTATAGATGCCGAAAATGTAAAGTTACATTCAAACGATTTTGACCATACAGAGAAGCTTAATCAGCTAACTGACACTGAACGAAGTCATGTTGACACATATATTTCTAACTGTGAAAAGGCACTCGATTCACTAAATAAGATCAATCAACCGATAGCTTTAACGGAAACATCACCATGGGAATATCATTATTCAACTAATCGACACCACTTTCCACTAAAAAACTATATCATCCATGCATTTCCTATATTGAAACCTTATCTCATCTCTAATTCTAAGAAATGTCGTATTTTGGAATGTGGATGTGGTACAGGAAGTACACTTCTTCCACTTATGCGGTACTGCAGTAATGAAAATGCTTCTTTTGTAGGCTTTGACGTTTCCTCAACTGCGTTGAGCTTTTTCCTAAATCATCCGATTGCAGAGAAATACACAAAAGATAATCGTTTACAACTTTTTAAATTTGACACCTCGGGTAATTTCCCCCAATCATCCATTGATTCTACTCAAAATTCCGAAAGTCAAATAAAACGACCACGATCTGAACAGTTAAAAACAACATTAATAGATGCGATGGGTGCAGCTTTTCCCTCATCAGGTGACGAAAAGTTCGATGTGGTTTTACTTGTTTTTGTTCTGAGTGCGTTGCCAACACTATCCGGTATGATTAGTACATTGAAGCAGATACGTGAAGTAATTAAACCGGATGGTTTCTTGCTGTTTAGGGATTATGCTCTTCCAGATCATAATTTTTTTCGCTTTATAAAAAATAATAATAATGAGCTAGGCGAGTTGTTTTTTAAAAAGGGCGATTCAACGACTCAATTATTCTTCGAAGAAAAGTTTACGAAGAGATTGATGAAAGCGTCAGGTTTTGACGAACATTTGGATGAACAGTTCAAACTTCAATACCACTGTAATCGTATAATTAACAGAAAGACTGGAAAGTTTATGGATAAAGTTTTTTTGAATGGAGTATTTTCTCCATACTTGTAGTTTCTAACTTTCTTCCCTTACTTGCGGCTCTGATCTTCTTTAACCAGTAACCTTTGTCTAATATTACGAATGTTCTATGTATTCTATTATGAATCTTTGTTCTTGATATTTTTTTATCATATTTTTCTTCACATTATTATTATTATTATTATTTGCTTTAAGTTTACTCTAGATTATCCACGATTTTTTTTTACTATTTGGTTTACGATGGAGGAAAATGAAGAAACAGATGTCGTTGAACAAAGCGACAATACCAATAAATTTAAACGTTTTGAATTAAAACGCTGGGATGCAGTAGCTTTATGGTCGTGGAAGATTCCGGTGGATACATGTGCGATTTGTCGAAATCATATCATGGAACTTTGTATCGAATGTCAGTCCAAGCAATCTCCACAGGATAAGTGCACAGTAGCATGGGGAGCATGCAATCATGCCTTTCATACACATTGCATCTCGCGCTGGTTGAAGACGCGAAATGTATGTCCTTTAGATAATAAAGAGTGGGTTTATCAGAAATATGGTGCCTGAAATGTTGCTAGAGGTGCAGTTCAGTAGAAAAGAACTGATGAAAGGTACAAATTTTATCTGAATTTTTTTTTCGAAATATGATTATTTATTGAATTTTGACCGAATAATATTTATCATACTTTCTTCATTTTTTCTTTTTAATGTTATTATGCTTAATCGTTTCTATCAAAGGACAGATTTACCATTCCCTATGAAAAGGCTCCTGATTAAAAATGTACATCTTGCCTCACATTGTCGATTCCTTTCGGCTTTAATGAGAACTTCCGTTAATAAAATAACTCAGAGGCCGCCTCCCAATGGTTTTAGTTTCAACTATGTCTTGGGCTCAAGACAATTTTCTCTGGCCAAAAATAGTGAGGATTATAGTATTTCTTTATTTTGTGATGTGCAGAATATTGCAATGAAGTCTGTAGGTGGTGGTGTAAGTGATAAAGTGCGACCACGTAAGCGTTCTAAAACACGTGTTACTAATAGTCAAAGCCCTCAACATGTCTATTTTTATACTCGACTGAAGCTGCTTCATACATCTTTTCCATTCCATGTCGAAGTGCTATGTCACACGCTTTTGGGCCAACTTATTTTGGACAGCGTTTGTTTTCATACTAAAGAACCTCTTTTCCGGGAGGGCCCTGCAAAATTTGACACACAGTTGTCGTATCGAGGTCCTTTCCTCACTCAATCATCATTGGTAGATCTTCTTGTTAATCAAACCCCAAGTTCTAGTCCGTTATGGAATGGGCCACAAGCCTCGGGGCAGCCGTTTGATCAATCCTCGCATTTCATTGCTTTCCAGGGATCTAACTATGGACATTTACCTGTTCATACTGTCAATCCTGCTCTGACCGATAAAATAATTTCTTTTTTGGATATATTTGGTATTGATGATGATATTGCTGAATTTATTCAAGAAACTGTTCCATGCATTCAAGCACATGAGCTATCTGCTTGGAAAGAAATACTCATACAAGAATTGGCTTGCTAAATGATTTAGGTGCTACTATTCTTTTGCTATTGTTAAACTTCCTGAAAGTAATATTCTGAGGGGAACATTTTTGTGTTTATGTGTCTTGATGGTATTATTATTACCCTTTAAAATCTGGGTATGGCCATAAGAGGTATTTTGCACTATTTTGCCTTTTTTTTGAGATTTAATCGTTCACCCCAACAGCATTTATTATATCAAAATGTATCAGACTGATCCTTTTCATGAGCTAGAAACAGAAATGCGGGAACTTGCTGTAAGGGGCAAGTTGCTTCAACAAGGAATCCGACGAAAAGGCGTTATTAGTGCCGAAAATCTCAATGAATTGGAAGAGGTGAGAACGGAATCTGAAGAAGTTCTAGGTCTATTAAAGGAAATGCTTCTTTCTATTGAGGAAGGGGGCGGTAAAGTTAGCGGAAGAATTTTCTCTGCAAATGAAATAATGAATCGTCAAAATATTGTTAGAGCTATTGAGAGTGATGTAAAGGAGTTAGTTATGTTTTGCTCTGATATAAATCAGAAAAAGACAACCCCAAACGCTTTTGTATCGGCAAATACTCGACTAAATGAAAGTCATCAGGACGATTTTCTGATGGCCCAGGAGCTTTCTCAGAGAGCTGAAACAAAACAGCAAGAGGAAATTCTTCTTCGACTCTCATATGGATTGCAGGAATTAAGAGAAACCGGTGTTGGCATTTCAGACGAATTGGAGACTCACGAAGTGCTCTTGACCGAAATGGATAAAAATATGACTGGAATACAAGCACGTCTACAGGTGGCTAATACAAAGGTGGATAAGTTGCTTAATAGTATGTCAAACAAAGGAAAAATTTGTACGATAATAGTACTAACCTTTGTAACGATCTTTCTCTTTTTTTTGCATTCAATTAACAATGTTTATGTGTATACAGTTTGTGCATTCACAGTGACAACAAAGGAGAAAATATGGATATAGACGAATAGTTTGCAACAGAAATGTTGGCATCAGTAAACTAAAAAGATTTAGTTTAACTCTCAAGACTGATGAATGCATTCTTCTTTTTTTTTATCTCTTTATCTGTAAAGTCCCGATGGAACCAAAAACAGAATTGATCGGTCTTATGCGCCGGTCGTCGTCTATTTCATGCAATCAACTGCTGTTTCTGTTATATATGTTCGAGGAAAGGTGTGGATCCACCAATGAAATGGGCAGCAAAGACTATGATAGCCTTTCCTTTGATGATATCGCTCTAATTCTCCAGTATTCCTTTCCTGGCTTGGCATCACGATTTCTATTTGCCTTATCAAAAAATAGTACTCTTCTTCGCAGTCCGGATCGAGGTCTCTCGTGGAAAATGGTGTACAATCTGGAGAACGAACCGGTCGTTCCTGTAATAGAAGAGCCGAAGAATGGACCGAATGATTTTCTTGTGAGTCTTATTAAGGGATTGGACATGGAGAACACTGATTTAGATGCCATGCTATCCTGTCATGAAAGGGATCATACCACGCTGTCCTGTGTCAGCAGTTACGCCGAATTGGTCGCGCTTGCAGGGAAGGACGGGTTCCTGGCAGTTTCCATGGACAGCGGCGTGACCTTCACGACGTCACGGCAGTACCTAAAGCCGGCGTTAGGCCCGGACTGCGATGTGGCCTATTTGGCTGTGGTGGATGGCCGCTGCGTCCTGGCCGCGGGGGGGCGCACGGTTTGCCGGGTCGCAATCACCGCGGCAGCTTTCAATCAGGCATCGCTTAGTGGGGTGACGGTGATTCAAAAGTGCAAGAGTGTGGTGTGCGCTCTTGAGGTGATACGCTATTCCGCAACATCCCTCCATATTATTGTGGCTGAAGAGGGATGGCTACATCTCTCGTGGAATAATGGATCAGACTTTATTTCCATACCACATAAATTGGGGTGTATTCGTTCATTGGATTCTCTGAGTGCCCTAAGAAACTGCGAAATGCCACCGTTTCCAGAAAGTTCTATGGAGGCCTATTTGAAAAGAAGTAAAAATAACGCTTTGCCTGAAAATTGTCAAGAAACATACGAGTACTCGTGTGGCAGCACTATCAAAAATCCTGGCTGTTTCGCGCTAGAGGAACTCAAAGCGGCATTGAGCGTTCCCTTTAGAAGATTTGAAAAGGACTCTGATATTTATTTTCGTTGCTTTTTAGTCATAGGGAACGGTACCGAAGTGCTCTCATACGATTACACCTGCGTGATTTGTCTTTGTATTAGCATTTCAGGAGATTTACTCACAACCTTTTCTCACGCAAGCTCCGTCAATTACGTACCTCTAGTTCGTTCTAGTTTGAATAATCCCATGTTTTGTTTGAGCATGGTTGTTGCTCCAGAACGCGTGCTTTTCGCTCGAGCGTGCTCGGGTGGTGTTAGCACATCATGGGATCTGAAAAAGTGGTCAGATCTCCAATTTACTTCACCTGTCGGCCTTTTTGCTCTTGATGGAAGCGAGCTTATCGTCTGTAGTGAACGAAACACGACGTTTATAATGCGTCATTGTGATTCTACAATAGTAACTTCGAGCATTGTTTCTGGTAATTTTCGTGTTCACTCACTTAAACGAGCATCTATACTATACTAACATGCTGTATTTGTTGCTCCTCCTCTTTACTATGTGTAATGTATAGTTTTCTCTCTTTTCTTTTTTTCTTACACGCCTCCACTGTGTATTTCTATGACTTTATGAATCGTACTAAGCTTAACTGGCTTTTTTTTTCACGATTTTACTTTTTATTATTCTCGGATGATTAAAAAAATTAGGGAAATGCGTTGTTAAATTTATCAAAAAAACGTTTGAAACATGTTTTTGTTTCTTATGCTCTCTTTGATTATTCTTCTCAATCTAATATACGTTTAATTATTTAAGCTTACTGAAACGGATCATATTTTTAAAATATGAGAAGAAATTTTAGACTATAGTGGTGCCAAATGTTTTGCCGATATGAGACTAGAACTAGATACTAACCTGACCGGTACCTCTATCTCCTTTTAAAACATCCGAGTAACCTCCTATTTCCGTGTTTTTAAGGTTCTGAATATATTGATTCATTTGCAGATTCAGTAAACTCTAAGTTTGTTTTTTTGTGCTTGATAAATCTTTCCCTCGGAATTCTGGCAGTATCTCGGTATCAAAAAAAAACAAGTCATATACTCTGTTGTTGATACCATGCGATGAGATTAACCTTTTTTTGTAACTGTTTGTTGGTAGCCATAATTCTGTGATTGTAATCTTCAGATATGAGCATTCTTAAGTCTAGTCGTTCAGCACAAAGTAAATGGAATTTTGCAATTCTATGCTGGGATATTTGTTTAGGACTGCAAAAACTTCTTTAGGCCTGTTTTTAATCATGGAGGGACTCAAATATTTGATGATAAACTGAGGTCTGCTTATTAACACTATCTGTCATTATTGCAGGGCACGATGATTCATACGAATTCGGCTCCTATTTTTCTTAATATGATCCTCCGATGCGTAAGCAGCTTTATGCGTGCATAGAACGTAAGTAAAAGACCTTGGATATTAAAATTACGAAATTACAGACGCTTGATCTTGCTAGAATCTCTTCAGCGCAACCATGATGCCATGGTCACTTGGTCTCCTTTCAACATCTTGTTGGGTCATCGCGATAGGCTGACCTTTGGTCACCAGTGTAATATAGTAGAAAGGAATGGAACATATTGCGCAACTATGAAGAACAGCGATACGATCGTTATTCTCGAAAAGAGTCATATAGTTGCTTTGCTCCGAGTGGTATCGGAAGCCCGTTAAACCCTTCATTTTGTTTATAGGATCTGCCAAAATTTTTACGTGAATCGTATTTCTGTTTCTTTTTGTTCTAAGCAAAGGGAACTTTAAATTATATTCTTGTTTATTCCTCTATATTTTATCATTAAAGCCAATTAATATAACTTTATTCCTTAATCGTAACATAGGGCTTGATATCGTCCCTTTTACTGTTCGTCCCTTTTTTCACTCTATTTGGCCCCTGTCGTGATGCAAGAAGAGCTCGCTGTAGCTGTTCAGACTGCCAGAGGAGGCGACCGCATAGGTGCCGTTTACAAGGCGCATCAGTCTTTAGAAAATGATTTGGCCAAGTATGTATCACTGGTTGGGCTGGCCACGAAAAGTCAAAACACGTCCAATAGCTTTAATCCCTGGGACGAACTCAAGAATCAAATAGTACATGTAAATCTGAGCGTATCGGTTTGTCTGCGGCTTTTTAGCGAACATCGTGTCATGCTGTCGTCAAAGGGATGTGAAACGGTCGAAGCACTTTATACACAGAAAAAAAGCCCCTCTGAAAGGCTTCACAGTTTCCTTAATTTAATAAAAGAAAAACTTGATGGGATGCTTTCCCTTTCCATTGCACTTGTTGGAGGGAGATGCCTCCGACTTATCAATCCAGAAAGTGCAGGCTTTTTTATTCGCTCGTTCATAGAAAATGTTACCAATTCTGATGAATATGATGCTCGCGATCCTACTCATGTCCGTATTAAGGAGTGCGTAGTGGGTACTCAAGATATGCTTAAGGCGGAGCTGCCTTTACTTTTATCTCTTGAGGTAGAGTGCTTTGCGGAGTGCGGGAATACGATGTTCCCATTAGATTGCGAACTGGACAGGCTTCGGGGGTGGATATCGAACAATGAAATAGAAGAATTATTAGCCTATGAGGTAACGTGCAAACGACGTTACGCTGAAACGAGTGCTCAAATCATAAAAAAAGCTAAATATCGTGAGTCACTCGTTTCTTCAAAGGAAGATGCACTAGGAAAATGTTATTCTGAATCTGCACAACCTTACGGCAACAGCCCTCATGAGCCTAAGAGCATCAAACCACAGGAAACACCGCAGACTTCTCTTCAACTGCTTCTCAATATGTTTGGTCTTAAGGGCTGGAAGCTACATGTGAGTCGCCTGGCTGCAGTAGTAATCGGCATTCTATTGCTGAAGCTATTCACAACAGGGGCTCTAAAGCTTTTAAAATATACAGCCAATGTGATGCGCTCAGCCCCGCGGAGGCAAAGACAACTGACATTGTAGCGGACATGGATGAATATTTTTATATCACGGGATCGTAAAAAAATGCTAAACCTTCAGCTACAGTGATTGACAAGACAAGCCATAAAAAGCCACTAAATTTATTGGTTCATATATTCCGAAGCAGAGTAAATGTTCTCTTTCATTCGTTTGGAAGTTATGGAGGGAAGGAGAAAAACAAATTTATCCACGAATTCGATATTTGATCTTTTTCCTTCTCATTGTTTTTCCACCTCTATATATCCATTAATATTGAGATGTTTTAATATCGTATTAAGGACATTGAATCAAGCGGAATGAATTTTGTTTCCTGTGTTCATAGTATACCTGAGAAGTTTAGAGTTCTCATCATTTTCTCTTTGTTTGCTATGAATAATGGCTTTTCGTGGATTATGTTTGATCCTGTAGCCAAATGGATGGAAACAAACGTAGATGGTTTATCAAAAAACGAGTTGGAACTTCTTTCATCGTGGCAACCCGTTGCTTTCCTGTGTATGTGTATACCTGTTATGAAGATCGTGACACAACACGATGGTCTGCGCTTCTCGGTTCAATTTGGAACTCTGTTGGAGATCGCGGGTGCGTTCCTCAAGTTGATTGGTATTTTAGCACGCCATCACAATGCAGGCCTTGTCTTTCTAAATATGGGACAAATATTTAGTGGATTGGGTTCTCCAGTCGCGGCGGGTGCAGTGTCAGCCCTCTCTGCGACCTGGTTTCCGCCAAAGGAACGCACACGTGCTACTGCTGTTGCGATTCTTTTCAACAGTGTAGGTAATGCTCTATGCTATCTTTTTATTCCTATCGTAACTCAAAAATTGACTATGGTATGTGTCATTATTTACGAGCTGTTGATTGCGATTCTCGTTGCGGTTCTTGCATGGAAGTTCATGCCAAAGGAACATCTACACGGAGATGATCAGCAAATGCAGTCTGGCATGAACTGCAGTACAAGCAATTCGCTCGAAGATAGTAACAATGAGACACAAGGTGGGGGTGAAATTATCGTACACCCTAATGTCCATGTCTCCTTTCATCGGCAGCTCGCTCAGCTCTTCCGTATTCCATCCTGTCTTCTCCTCTTGATTGTATATGCTTGGCTTAGTGGAGGGTTTTCTGCATGGATCTCACTTTTTGACGAAACTTACAATAAGTGGTTTACCGAAACATTTATTGGAATTATGAGCTTTTCTGGCATCTTCATGTATGTAATTGGAGGTTTATTGATGTCATGGCTAGTGGATTTATACTTTTCACGTCAAATGAAATATGTGATATTTTTCTGCATTACCATGAATAGTTTAGGCAATCTTATTTTTATTTCATGCACACCAAATGATAAGGGGTTTTCTTTATTGAATTGGGGTAAGGGATTCATTATCTTCTCCACGGGTTTATGTGGTTTCTGGAATGGTGCAGCAGCTCCACTATTCTTTGAACTTATAGCAGAAATATCATTTCCGATTGAAGAGGGTGTTAGTGGAATTTGTGTCTCTTTAATGGAAAATGTCGGAGCCTTGCTGTTTTATCAGGTTATTTCAAAGTTTTTCGAAGGCCAATTTATGACTATTGCTTACTCTTTTGGAATGATAGTGGTAATTGCTCTTTGTGCTGCTGTAAAACAGCGTTACAAGAGAACATACCATACATATATCTGCGAAATGGTGCAACATGAATAAAGCCTTTATATTTATTAAGTTAGAGCTTTGCACTGTAATGCATTCTCTATGTTGTAATGTAATCCTAAGTGACAAATAAAGCCCTATTGGAATATTAATCAAAAGTTAGAGATTCTCTGATTCATATGATTCACGTTTATCTTGTGAATCTTGTTGAGGTCATCGGAAATTAGTTGTAGTACATGAACCCCCCCCCCCCCGAAAAGCTTAGTTCTGATTTCTATTTCCTTCTACAACGATAGCATAATGTATACACAGAATCATAAGATCGTAATTACCATAAATAGCTTCATGAAAAAAAAAGTTTCAGTTTACCACGCTGCTAATATCTTATGTTATTTATTTGTCTATTTATTAGAACACTATTTTACCTTTTTTTTTCAAATCTCCAAATGAAGACTACTTTATGCAATGAACTAGAAATAGGAGCTAAGTGATTTAGGATATAGTCAACGAATCCATGATGTTTGAAAAGTGAGCTTATACTCATAGAAGTCTTTTATTATGTTAACGACACCGTTTAGGGTGTGATTGGTCTTTCTACAGGTGTGTGGACCTCTTATTTAGCGTCCATATGTTGTTAGAAATGACGCTACTTCGAAGGCTGCCTGCGAGGTGGCTTGAGGCTGGAATATCTTTTGTAACTTGAATACAATGGTTAAGGGACAGCATGTGTAACGCTTTTTTGTAATGACCTATGATAAAGCTGGTCATTTTCCCTATATTTTCTTGCTTATTTTATCAAAATTTATGTTACCATATTTATTCAGGTAGATCTTTTCTTTGTAAACAATTGCATTAGAAAAAAATGCCAAGATTTTGTCCTCTTGATATTGTACCGTTTGTTACACTTGGGTTAGGCTTTTTCACAATCGCGTTCAGCTTCTATATTTGGCGTGAAGATGAGAGCTTACAATCCGTAGCTTTTTGCGGATTTGAGAGTCATGAAAATTTTTTCTACAAAGCCTTCGCCAGTAAGTTCAGCCACCTGACTTACTTACATTTGTCTTTGAATGTCCTCTTTTTGCTTGATGTTGGGTTCAATTTAGAGAAGCAGCTCGGAAGTTTTGGCTTTTTATTCCTTTATGGGATAGCTCTCTTGGGAATCATCGGGCTGGGATGTCTTTACCATGCATTTATTTTCAGTGGATGTTCGGTTGGAGCCAGTGCTGTGCTTTTTTCGATTTTCACATTTTGGTGCTATAACTGTGAAGGTAACCTATTTTTCCTGGGCATTGTGCCTAGTAACCCTATTTATGTACCTTGGTTATTCCTCATCTTGTGTCAACTATTCTTTTGGTCTAGTGCAACCGGGTTGCACGCTTGTGGGATTGTGTTTGGAATTTTTACTTACTACATCATTCCAAAGTCATTTTGGGATGCTCTGAAGTGTAGTAGTGACGTATATCATGAACCTAACTCTAGTGACAATTTAGATAACGACTATCCTTCTGAAAGTGTACCGATAACTTCCAGTGGCAACAATAGTTTCAACTATAAGACAGATCAACATAATGTAGTGTAAACCATACTTGTCTAATGTTATTTTTCTCTTTTTATGCTGATATTTTTTATTTAGATTTCTATTTGCGTACTCATACTTTAAAGGACTAATTTCTAACTCAAGAGTATTCATGAATAACTATTGAGCAATAATTTATTTATTAGAAGAGTTGTGTTTGATTTATATAATCTAAATATGTATCGTTTGCTTTTGAAAAGGCTTTCTACACCCTAAGTGATGTATGTGTATTGGATATCATTGAGTCTACTTTTTTTTCTTATACGTATGACTTTCCACTCCATGTCTATTTCAAGAAGGAGATAAATATAGTGGATAAATGTTTAGGGTTAGTAAATTTCTTTTCCCCAAGCCTTGCTGCGAGGAAATTACTCGCACTGCACGACGTATTCAGTTAAGACCACAGGAATATTATGCTCAACACCGAATGCAATCGTGGCAAATGAGGTTCAAGGAAATGGGTCCTCTGTACTCTAAAGTTTGGGTGGCTCTTGGTGGAAAAATGAGGCGGCGGCGCATCGGTCGCCAGATTGACATCAAAGATCTTCGCTACTATTGGCGTCCTATAGAACCTCAGTACCAGCGTTTGTATATGTCGAGGCTGCGTCAGAAAGGACGCAGCAATATAAAGCGGATTCCAATGCGGCTTCGACCTACTAACACAGAGTTAGGTAAGATTACCTCGTCTAAAGAGTGGGAACGTGCGAGCCATCGTAAATATGGTGCCATGCAAGCACCACCAAAAAAATTAGACTTTGAATTCCGCGTTTTTTAGTTCTTTTTGGAATTTTTATTTTGTGTGAAAAGTAGTCAAATTATATTTGCTGCACTTTAAAGAAATATTTTCTGACTGGAAGGTAATATTGATGCTATATGAGTCAATACGCTACAAAAAGTAGTGATAATAGTTGGAATTCTTCCCTCCAGACGACTTCTATAGAACGACACTCTTCCAGTTTCTAGGCTATCACTACTTCATACATTTACCATTTTAAAAATATACACATATCTAACAATTTTCACCAATTTATGGTTGACATTTGAAGGTATATAAATTGTAGATATTTATTTATTACGGTAATTCAATGATTGTTATTATTCTTTCCAATCAAAAAGACTTTATTGCTTCCATATTTACAATTGAACTTTACTGACAATGTTAGTACAGCCAATGAAGCTTAATGCATGTCTAGCGTCATGCAACTAACAGGTTTGTCATGGAAATAGTAACTAATGGAATTAATATGTACTATTAGGTTCATCGTACCTTAGGCTATTTCTTTCCTCAGATATTTCTCCATGCGTATTTTAGTCATTGTTTTATCTAAAATTTATTAGTTTTATCATCAATAGCTGACACAAAGACCCCTCAAGCATATCACCAATGGCTACCTTAAAAGACTTATATTCATATTATTGTCGAAGGTGGAACTGCAAGCCCAATAGCAGCTTCTGTGCCGTCTTAGACGACGAGTATGTTAAGCATAACAACCAACGAATCCTCTATGAGGTAGACCTATCGAGCAACTATTTGGGAAAAAATGGGCTACGTCCGGTTCTGGACTTGGTGAAAAACTGTAAGACCGTTTCGGTCTTGGATGTAAGCAACAACCGGTTGGAGCACGAACAGTTGGAATACCTCGTGTATTCTCTTGTTCTTCATCCATCGATCCAAAGAGTGTTACTATGCAATAATTGCTTGCATGAAAAAAGTATCGACCATATCCTCAAGCTCCTCGATACAAATCATAGAATTGTCGAATTAGATCTGTCTGGCAATAACTTTTTACCGGTTTCGTTGTCTTTGGTATCGAAATGCTTAAACCGTAATCGCATGCTGCAGGCACAAATAAAATCAGAAGATGAAGAAATTGCTAAGCACCGCGCCACATTGGCAGCTAAACCCTTGTTCCAAGCTGAAGTATACGGTGAGCTCACAGAAAATACCTCCGGTGGTCACCTACACTATTCAACGTGGAGGAAGAACCCGCAATATCGCATTTGTGTATCTCGAACATCTCGGGTCTCCATCGTCCTTGAATCAAGAGGTGGTATGCTGACACGGCAGGTAGGCTTCGTGATTATGCGGTGTGATAGCATCCGACGAGTCATTCATTTAAAACCGGATACCATTGTGGCTGAAAGCCCAGTCGAGGCAGCTTATTGCGCAACAGAGGTCATGCTGGAGGAATCTGGTAATTATGTTGTTATGCCGTTTGTTTTCCGCCCAGGCCAAACTAACAGCTACACACTTAGGGCTACAATGATTAACGACATACCAACTCTAGAAGAGGGGTGGGTCACGCTAGATCTGATTGATGAACAGCATGATTGGCGCAATCGAACTATAGATGCATTATGGCCAGCAAAAGGAGGATGCTCCTTACTTAATACATGGAGATACAATAACATGTACCATATTCGATACGACAAGTCCGTAAATGCATGCTTCCACTCTTCAGAAGTGGAGGTTTATGTCCTCCTAACGAAAAACATTGACCCAGATTTCAACGATGAGAAAGAAATTGGACTGGATGTAGTGTCTGAAAGTCTAGATGTCCCAGGGCGACCACCTCTTTTCTGCACGCCCGAGGTTCGACATTGGGGTGCAACGCACGCCCTCCAAACGTCTGTTTCCTTGTCTTTTACTCTTCCTTTAGGGGAACTAAATGTTTACGTGATACCCAGCACCAAGGTTACCGGACAGGAGGGCTGCTATACACTGGATATCTTTTGCTCCGCACCCTTTGTATGCGCTACCTCGGAGTTTCCACACGGGTGGAATTATCGTCAACTTGAGAGCAATTGGAATGACTTATGCTGTGGTGGCCTAAGGAGCTTGTACCAGTCGTGGAAAAACAACCCTTCAGTTAAAGTGGAACTGACATCGCGCCAAGAATTAACTCAAGATGGAGACACTGGGGCAGTTTTAATAGCCTGTTTAGAGCCTCTGGAGGCCCACCACGTAAAAAGTGAGGCAGTGTTAACAGAAAGGGTTGCAGAACTTTTTTCGAAACAACAGAACAATAACGTTTGCCTATCTGATGGTGAAAAGGAACTGAAGCACGCGGCTGAGGCATTTAGTTTTTACCAGCGCCACAATCGGCGTATGTTGGAGGTTTGTTTGACTGTAGTGGACACTGTAGCTCCTCACTTCAACAACCTAGTCTGCACGGAAGTATCCCACACTGAAGCGCACCTGAAGTTCATTGGTAATAAGGACATCCCTTTTTATTTGGTAGCAATGACACGAGAAGCAGGGCAAATGGGAAACTTTCGGATGCACCTCTTTTCTCAGTATCCGTTCGTACTGGACGATGTGATGTCGCTGGCCGAACGGGAGCGAGCGGACAAGCTGTCTGAGTATGAACGAGAAAAGCAACAGAGACGGGCACAACAGGAAAAGGCGATTCACAACGAAGGACAAAGCTCAATGCTTGAGGATGCTGATTCACGTCAGAAACGGGACGATATCTTGGCCAACTGTCTTCTCACAGGGGACTTATTTATGGACCGCGACTTTCCTATCGGCAACTCTTCATTGTGTCTTGATCCTGAGGTCACAAAGTGTCATGGATTCCCTCAAAAAATATCTTGGGTAAGGGCCTCCAGCATCTCAGAAGACGCTGAGTGTCTTCGCGAAGGATATCTGAGTCCGCCATTTCCTTACAACGCAAGACACTGGTTTGCTTCAGTACTGTATGCAATTTCAGCCAAGCCTCATTGGCTCGCTCATATTTTTCTAGAGTACAACAAAAAGGCCGGGTTTGCACGGTTTCTATTCTTCAAATTGAACGAATGGGTGCATGTGCTTGTGGACGACTATCTTCCAGTGGATGCAGCAGGAGCACTTTGTTTGGGTCATTCAGTGAATGTAGCTGACATGTTTTATCCACTTGCTGAGAAGGCCTACGCAAAGTTACACCGTTGTTATCAGGTTCTGGAGCCCCAGGTTTCGCCAGGATTATCATTTAAAGATCTTATCGTCCAAGGTCTCCGTGATGTTTCAAGTGGCTATTGTGAGGTCCACAGTTTGGGCCATGGTATCGAGTCTGAGCCCCTGTCGAGGAATCAAAAAGACAATCTGTGGCGCATGTTTAAAGATTCCATGAATAGTAAGGTTCTACTTGCCTTGATGCTTGACAGTCAAACGTCCAAGGCATCCGAAAAAAAGAGCGTTGGCATTTTACTTGATCATCTGTACACAGTAACCGATGCACGCTTCATCGAGAAACAGCGGCTGGTCAAAGTGCGCAACTGGTGTGATGACGAAAACACTCGATGGAAGGGTAAGTGGGGACCTCACAGCCCTCTTTGGACTGAAACACTCCTACATGCTCTCGAATATAACCATGATCTTGTTGAATTCTGGATTTCTTTTGATGAGGTATTATTTTACTTCTCTGACTTGTTTCATGTTGAACAACATGCAAGCGTGTGCAGCATATCTGGAGTCCTTTGGGGTTCTGGGAAAGAGAAAAATGGCCGTGCAGTTGGGACCGACATGCAACTGCGCTTTCCTCAGTTTGCGATGCAAATTTCAAATGTACCTTCTGGGTGTCATACTTTGGACATAGTCGCCGGAGTGCATCAAGCGGATGCTAGGTTAAGTATAACCAGAGATCAAAATGCTAAGGCTGAATATAAGAACGCGTTTGGTCTTGCAGCATTAAACACTGAGGATAACGGTCGCTTTGTCAAAAACTTTGAGGCCAGTGAAACAATTTCTATGTCCGTACCGTCTCGTTCACGTGACGTATTCATTAAGTTCAATTTAGATGCAACGGCAATAGTCAAACAGACGCAGTTTATCACACTGATGGTCCTCCAGGATATCGAAAACACTGTCGATATCCCTTACTATATTACCGCAAGAAGCTCCCAGGCGTGTGTTTCTATCACTCCGGTAAGCCGTGACTCCACTATAAATGTTAAGGGAAAATGGGCAGGCGCAACGGCGGGAGGTTTACCCCAAGCGTCCACATGGCGCAACAACCCACAGTTTTTCCTCTATCCCAGTGAGACGATGGAGCTCACCATTTCGTTGATTCTTGTGTCCTCTACCATCAATGATGGGGATAACCCCTATGGCAGCCGGCCCCCCTCAATCGGCTTCACTGTACATAATACTCGAGATTGCCGCAGCTTCTTGCACTTCGAACCTGAGACAGTTGTGTTTAGCGTTCCTGCTGATGAAAAACTCTGTGTGCTTGGTACGGTTACACTATCCGGCATGAAGGAGAGACGCGGTATGCCCTACGTTATTGTGCCTTATTGCAGTAATCAGGAACTAGTGGGACATTTCACTCTAGAGGTACTGAGTAATCGCAAGGTTTCTTTAATGCCGATTGACTCAAGGTTAGACTGGTCTCGATGCGTAAACATGGTTCATGTGGATGCTTTATATGGGAACGCTGGTGGCTCACCGAAGTTCCCTTCGTGGAGATGGAGTCCGCAGCTGATTCTTGACTTCCCTATTTCTCAAGAGGGCCGTCTTTTTATTTCGGCTGCTAATTGCAAAGTTGATGACGTGCGAAACGAAATTGGCATGATTTTGCTTTACAGTGACTTGAGTATTGATGATGGACATCGACGCAGGTTGTATTTTGATAGCAATGATATTGTTGGTAAAAGTGAGGAAGCAATTGGTCGTGTGAACCTGGAAGTAGAGCTCAACTTACACACACGACCAGGGCCATTAGTACTTTTGGTATACACTGTAATTCCCTACAGGGAAGTAGACATTGAAGTAAGCTTCTACTCGCAGCCAGCATTGGAGGTTTCAGTGGCGACTGATTGGAAGTCGACAGCGCTGCTAGAGGGATGCTGGGAATTGGGAAAGACAGCAGGAGGGAGTCGTACAAAATTTGCTAGTTGGATAAACAATCCTTTTGTTGGTCTATCTGTCATTCGCCCAACAAATATTGTCGCGGTCCTCGTGCAGTACCTTCGCTACAGAGAACCGCCTATTGTAAAGCGAAACGGTACCAAAAAGGCCTTTTTGCCACCGATAACGGTAATAGAAGACCGTAAAACCTTTCTTGAGCTGGATCTTGTTCGCTATGATGAAAGGCTTACACCAATATCTAGTGTGGGGCCTTCCAATAAAGCGGAAGTTGTTCTCGCTCAGAAGTTAGAACCCTGCGATGATAAGCCGTATATTTTTGTGCCTGCAACCTCACTCATGGAAGATAACAACGATTTTAAGCTTGTTGTATTTTCGGACCATCCTATTGATCTTTTTCTTATCGAAAAGTCGCGTTTACCTTATATTTAGAAGATTCATCTGATAATTTTGGTAACTTTAGTTTTTATCCATGATCGCAAAAATAAAATGTATATTTGCATATGTATACAATCACATCTACTTTGTTACGCTTTATTTCAATTACTACAAAAAAATGTTCAATGGTGTCCTACTTTCATTTTCACCTCTTAGTGAAATGTTTTTATCACGATCAAATACATGCATGAATAGCTGTATAGATGTACATCTTTTACCTTACAATATTCATTATCGATCCCTTAATAAACCCATCTTTCTATTTTGATCTTGAAAAAGCAAGGAAGGGAAGTAAGGATCTTCTGGACTTTAGTTTATCACACTAGTACTACTACCACATTGGTTGCAGGCAACTCCTGTTCAAACCTACACATTGACTTTATTGAAGAACGTTTACAAAGCGCAATGATCCAGCGAAGCTTATGCTGGCTTGAGAAGCTTGTCATTGTGGAGTCACCAAATAAAGTGATCAAAGTCGAGGGTCTTTTAAGTGATCCTAGGGTCATCCCAGACTGGTCCTTTAAGAATGACAGACTTAAAGGGTTAGGTACTAGGCCTGAGAAAGCTATCGCCATGGCCACCACCGGGCATTTTATGTCACTGCAAGAGATCATATGGACCCCACATCACATTACCACAAGACTACCAGATGACATTGACTTACCTAAAAACGGTGTTCTGGCGAACTTTGAACTGGAATGGGAGATCCTTTCAGGGCGACATATCCAAGAAGCAATGTCGCATAATATCAAAGAAAGATCGGATAACCTGACGGAAATCATAGTGGCCACGGACCCAGATCGCGAAGGCGAGCTGATTGCAGTTCATGCGCTTAATCTAATTAAAAGATTATTTCCTGATCTTAATGTGCCGTTTACCCGGGCATATATGCACAGCATCACAGTTGACGGAATACGCACTGCTATGCAAGAGCGCCAGGAATTGTTCGATCACAACTTGGCAAACGCAGCTGAAGCGAGGCACACTATGGATCGTATTTTCGGTTTCCTTGGCAGCTCCGTTGTGCGCTTCGCTAACTCACAGATGCGCTCAATTGGTCGTGTACAGACCCCAGCACTGATTCTCATCAACGAACGAGAAAAGAAAATTACAAAATTTATTGAAACTCACAAGCCTGAGTTTCAGGTTCGGGCCATGTGCACTTTTCCCTCTAGAAACGGCACGAGGTACTCGCAGCTGGTACAGATCAAACCTGTGCATCAGGACAAAATGTCCACCACAGACTGGGAAAATAAAAAATCGGTTGAGCAGCTATGTAGTAAATGGAGGCTGATGAGCTGCAGTGATTTCCAGGTAAAAGGCACACCCATAATCATTCCTACCGTCACCAATCCCCCTGAACCATTTACGATGTCGACTTTGATTGCAAAAGCCAATCGGCAGCTGCACTTAAGTAGCGAAAATGTGAACTCCTGCTTGCAAGATCTGTTTCAAATGGGGTATATTACTTACCCACGCACAGACAGTACGCGTATTGATGAGAGTGTCCTGTCATCTATCTATGAGGCCATCAAAAGCGAGTTCGGCAAGGATATGTTGTACACGCTTGAGGCCCGTACCTCCGATGAGGGCCAAAGGGCTTCGAAGAGGGATCAAGGGAAGCCGAACCGAAGAAGACATGCTGTGGAAAAAGGTAATGTCGAGGATGCCCACGAGGCTATCCGCCCAACCGATATCAACATTAAAGCTGATAATTTGGGCAAGAGTATTTCCACCAGCACAAGGCAGATTTATGATCTGATCTGTCGCAACACCATAGCAGCATTTATGATTCCCATGAAAAAGGAACGCATCACTGCACCAATCCGTCTTACGGCAGGAAATGGAGAAGCTCTAGAATTTAATCTGGAGGGAAAACACACCGTGGAGGCTGGTTGGTCTGTAGCTTTCCGCGTCGGTTCCGGTAAAGGAAGTCAATCAATCGCTGATGCTCAGTTAGATGCTGAAGCTATCGAAAATGGCATTGCCGTGATACCGAATATCTCGGATGAAGAGTTCAAAGCCATTTCCGAACTCAAATCCCAGCTCGGTCGTAAAGGACCTAATGAACTCAAGCTGGAGTCACCATGTGTACAGGAATACCAGGCTCCACCACCGCTGCCGTATTCAGAGGGTGGTTTAATTGAAGAGCTCAGAAATAATGGTGTTGGGCGTCCGAGTACGTACCCCATGATAGTAAAGACGCTTCTGGCGCGCAACTACATTACTATCAACAAGGGTCGTTGCGAGACGACACCAATAGGTCGTCTGCTTGTAGAAACATCAAAATCTACTTTTCCTTCCATTGTCAACATTGGTTTTACGTCATCGTTCGAAAAGAAACTTGACCTTATCGCTAAGCCGGAGCAGAACAACAAAGCCTTTCTCAGTCAGTACCCTAACCTCACCGAAGCGGACTACGTTCTCTCCTCCTTTGTCTCTACTTTTCTCAACTACATTACAGAGGCCACAAAGAATCAACGCGCCTTGATCGCTGAACGCTCACTCACTATTAAGCGTGAGGAATTGATGAAAAAAGGACAAGCAGAGGACGAGGCAACGTTTGCCGAGACGCTCAAGCGAGAGAACCAAAATGCCTTGGCTCAGGTTCCCGATCTCATTGAATTTTGCAAGAACTATCGTACTTTTACGGCTCTTCAAAACAGCTTGGGTGACTATTTACGACGACACTTTCCGCTGATGCCACCGGCGAATTGGGCACCAAACAAGGATGGCGTTGGTTCTTTTTCTCCATTGAGCCGGGGTCCCTGCGCCTCTTCAACCTACACATCCTACACAAAGTATGCAGCAAAAAAGGTTGCGAAAAAAACTGCATCACAACGCGTTAAGAAAGTAGCGAAAAGTAGAAAGTAAAAACTAATAAGTAATAGAGGGTATCTCAATTAAAAAAAATCCAAACCCCGAATTATAATGCTTTTAAATTCAAATTATCTATAGAAGTATATATGTGTTGCATGTTATTTCAACTAGCGCCTAAATTAACACTTTGTTTGATCCTATATCAAACCTCATAGAAGGTAAATATAAACACTCTTAGAAATGGAATATATATATAACGAAGAACTCATTAGTTTGTCTTTGTGTGTGTGTATGTGTGTTGTTTATCCTTAGAAACAAATAATTTTGCATTTGTCTGGGGGGAAGCGAGATGTTGTATTCAACAGAAACCTATTATATTGAATTCAACTTGCTTTTTCATTGATCTCCATGTCTGTTACTGTTTATTTCTAAATAAATTCAGATTCTTTTATAAATAACAATCTCGAGACATTCAAGTATCGTTCAAAGGATATCATAAAATAAATACAGGTCTTAGCATTTATATCCTCTTCCAATGTATACAGCAATATGTGTATATCTTTTTTTAGGTATGAGAAACACCATGATTCTTTAATTTCCATTTCTTATGATGAAAGTCGACAAAGACATACCTAGTCTTAGGTTTCTTCTTTTCATTAGTGATATTTAATCACAGAGGTGAATGATTATACCTTTTGACACATTCCTTTCACGTAAAGCCCCGATCGCTTTTTTTTCAATTGAAGCGTTTAGGATGACTATCTAATGAAAATTCTTATAGATCTAATTGATGAGAGGCAATAAACATAGATTTTGATCCAAGTTTGTCACCTGGCAATTTTCTCATTATTGCATTTTCCAAGAAGTATGGGGCCGATTACAGTAATGCAACTTATCCACCCCTGATTATGATGCCCGTGATTGCGTACGATTACTGTGCTGTGTTTTCCGAGAATTCCTGTGCGTCCAAGCAGTGAAGTGGAGTGTGAAATAAAACCCACACAACCAGAAATCGATTTAACCGAACTTAGCTTTCTTCCGAAACAAAACGCGAAAATGTTAGAAATAAATTGATGTATGACATTACAGTGATGCGTTCACGCACACAGTCTTTAAATTGCGGAGTTCCGAAACGGCATCGTACTGCTGTACCGCAACTATCAAACATGTTTGTGTTACTGAAAAATGGAGGTAGAATCTCCGTGAATATTTCAAAAGGAAGGATTATATTACATCGTTTGAAGAGGAGCGAGTGCTACGAATGGTATTCATCTCAATTGAGGAGCTATCTAACCCCAATTCATCGGTCTATTTAAATAAAAAAAGTCAATGTTACCCTAATGGAGAGTAAACAGGGTCACCTTCTATGTTTAAACCCTGTTTTTATTATTTGTAAGTTAGTATTTGAAGTAAATAAAAAGTGTCCAAATAAGTAGCCAAGGTATTCGGTATCGGGTTTAGCTTTCTACTTTAAAAGTACTTTATTGATTACAATATTTTGGACTTTACTCACATTTTTATCGTACATTGGATTCAGTTTGATGAAGTTACCTCCCCCTCTGCGGTTCGATATAGGCTATTCTTTCGGTGTTGTCATTACTCTGGATTACCAAACAAAATAAAAACTTGATGCGGCGTTGGCAATAGTATTAATTTACTCTCTACTTCGTAAAGGCCACAATCACATTGACGTTTTGTGATAACTCGGTAAATATCAACTATGAGCTGATGATCATTTTTAAAACGCTCAGGTACCTAAACTTGCTGGTGTCTGGTTAAAAATGCTCCCGATGGGTCGTTTCGAGTCGCTAATTGAACGCGAGGTTCCACGTTTGTACTGCATACTCCTTCCCATTATAACTAGCAATGGGATGATGTTAAAGGCTACGCGGAATAGAAGCGTGGCTGATCACGTGTTGTGTAGTAATGGCCTACCTATGTTTAATCTTAAAACACACAAAATAAGCATAGATACTAAAAAAACAACTACTACTATGATACATCGTATTAGACTAACCTTTTTGACCTGTTGAGTCTTTTAGCTACATGATATTGCAGCTCATCACCAAAGAAATACAATGAAATCGTTTATTGAACAGAATGTTCTTACATGACATTCAATACTGATGTCAAACATCTGATGGTCTATTTTGTAGTGATACTTTATCATGAAATTCTTTACCACAACGCATTAAAAAAACTTAATGAATTCGATTGCTTCTTTAGACAACCCTAAATTGAGTTCACTCCATTCTGAGCAAACCGGTGAAACCATATAAATTTCTATTGCAACGGTATCCATTATGCGGGCTGTGTATTCATTAATTAGGTGACCTATCTAACGCGACATCACACAAGAGTGGTGAACACTCATTTTTTAGGAGCTTGAAGCTATAAACACGCTGCTAAAGGACTCATCGAAGGATGCTGCTTCCAATTGAACTGCCAATGTAGTTTATGGCATCCTCCGAAGAGGGAAAACGTTGGAGGTGGATAAACTCGTCCGTGCCTTCGGCGTTTTTCAACGTCATGAGATAATCGCCACACGCAATGAGAAATGAAACTGACGAGATAGGATTCAGTGCAAGTCTCTATGACGCTATGCTTAGTTTCAAGCTTTTTTCTCTTTCAAAAAAAAAGATGGAAAGGATGAGCTATACGCATCGTTACGTGCATGTACTGAGACTAATACTGATTACCGTTGTTAAGTATTCCCCTCATACTTCTTCAAATCATTCTCGTCAATATTTATGCACCATATTGGTTATACAAGTAATTTGTCATATTTAATCCTGGCCAAACATTTCGTACTTTTTTCCTTTCCTTATTGTGTCTTGGATAGAGTGAGAGAGTCTTACTTTGGGCTTGCCAGTCCGGGAGAAATGTTTCTGGGTTCCGCCTTCCGAAGAATAAGGATCGCAATCACGCGTGGGTTGCCTCCGTGTTTAGTAGAAGTATCGAGTGTACAAAACCATTCGAACCCAACTCAATGTATGACTCCAGCAGGAGCAGTTTCCACGTCGTTTCGTTGGGCAAGTAACAGTATAATGAGTGAGTTCGAAAGGACGATGGAAGCCCTACCTACCGAGGAATCTGCTATTCCACCGAACCAAAGCGATGATGCCACTTCGGATAATGACGACAACCATTTGCCGCTGCAAAATCAGTGCGATATGCAGCTTGTTCAGATTCTGCAAGATATGGTGCCTCTCAATAACTTCAATGATATCATAGGCATCATTAAGAATGCCAAAAATTCCATGGAAGTGCGGCACTTTCTGTACAATATAGTTTACAAACACCACCTCTGCTTTGACCCACTGAATGGACACAACTATCGTGTGGCAGTTCTACAGTCACTCACATCTGTGGCCCCACGCACGCACTGCATGCATGAGTGGTTTGATTGTGTGGACCGCTTTCGGCGTCTGGGCTTCATTCTTACCCGCACCTACGCTGCGGAGGGGTATACGACCATCCGACAGTGGCTTTCAACCTGCTTCAACTTTGATGGGCGCACACCACGGATCATAACAGAGGGCATCTCGCACATACGTGAGCTCACGCAATGGTGCCAGGAGGATCGCCTTGTTTTTGATCACGTACTGTACACGCGCATCGTATTCCTGCTAACGATGATGGTCAGCTTTTTTGACCGCCAAAATCTCTACCGGGCGTCCTTTCCCGCCAATTTTGCCAAACGTGATGGCATTGTAGTGGAATGGGTTGTGGGCAATGAGCGCTCCACCGACTACGACGAGTGCGTCCTGCAATGCGATGCCTTCCTCGAGGAGATCCTCGACTGGCTGCACAAGGACGTCCCGTCGCGGCCGAGCTTCAGCCTGATGTACCGTCTTATGGACTACTACTTCGCCACAGACAACGTGGCGAAGATGCTGGCGACGATGGAGGACGCGGTGGCCTACGGCCTCCCCATCGCGGAGAGCAGCAGCGCGAAGCTGTTACAGCTGGCCTGCGCCCTGAACTACCCTACCGTCCCCGCCCTCTTCCTTCGCTGGCGCGTGGCCCTGCCCCAGTGCGTCCTCGCCACGCCGGACATGAGCCGGCTGCTGCTTTACTACGGCCGCGCGGGGGGGGGGCGGCCCTGCCCCGTCTGCGGGGAGTCTTTCAACCACCGCAACGCGAGCGTCTATCAGTGGCGGCTGACTCCCCCCCACCAGCGCCGCTGCCCCGCCCTCGCCATGGCCAGGGTGGCGAAGGGAGAGCTTGAGGAGTGCCGCGCGCTTCCGCAGAACGCGGACTGGGCGGGGAAGGCCTTCCAGCTCTGGGAGCTCTCCCGCCGACGGTCTATTGAGTGGACAACGGTCGAGTGGCGGGCCTTTCTGCTCTGCTGTATGTTCTCAGCCAGGGCACTGGAGGCTGTGGAGCTCATGAATCACCATATTGACCCGAGCAAGATGGACGATTTCCTCCGAGCGACGCTCATGAGATTGCTGCGGCATCACGCCCCTGAACATGCGGTCACCACCCTGGAGCAGTGGACCGAATGCCAATACAAAATATCCCCAATTGCCTTGCAGGAGGGCCTTATGGCTGCTGCGGCAGTCGACGACGCGGATTCGCGCTACTACGGAATGCAACGTTTTTGGAAAGGCATTTTGGAAAAGGATGCCTACATTATGCCTTTTACAAAGCGCAACTTACAAAAGCGATATACCGCGCTTCTGCAGCAAGAAGGTGGCTTGTCAGAGGAAGAAATTAATTTTTTTGATGTGATTATTGCATCAAAACCTGAAAAATTGTCCCTGCTGGATCTGAAGGACAGCGCATCCGATTATATGGTTGGGACATTCATAAAAAATGTCTATATACCGTCATCAGTTCCACAGCACTTGAATGGGAATAAAACGCAACCAAACTAGAGGATGGTGTGGTACGTTGTACAATCAAAGCTAGTTCTACAAAGCTGAGTTTTATGGTCATTTCTCTACTCATACTAAACACTGCAATATTCCTATGATGAGCACCCAATTTTCACCTTGCTTCCATCTGCATTGCGCTATGTTAAGACTAGACGCATTATAGAAAAAGGCCGCATATATTTTTTGTATAAACCTAATCCTTACATCACTTTTAGTCAAACTATGTCAATAAGCACAACCAATGCAGCCGATTCTGACGACCTCCCTCCAGCTATGAATGGATACACTTTTAAGTACCACTTAGGTAGTGCCCAAACGCACGACACTTTTCTTGCCCGGGAAGACGTTTCACAAAATTTGTATGTCGTGCGAGCATATTCTCTAGGTTACTTGCGTCAGAATGAACAAATTCGCCAAATTGTCGAGCGTGAGGCGTTGATGGCGAGTATTGTCCAGCATCCTAATATTACGAAGTTCGGAGGGTCTTTCATTACTAAAACAGATCTCTTCACGATTGAGAAATATTACAGTCAGGGTGAGCTGTATAGATCCATAGAAGTACTAAGCAACGGTGTCGAAGCGAGACCAAAGGTTTCTTATCCGCCGTTTAGTTCTCTTTCCAATTCAACAATAATAGAAAGAGATGAAAACTTGAAAAATCGCCAGGGCCTATCGATTAAGACATGCAAGCGTATCCTGCGAGAATTAATGCTAGCCTTGAGGCATCTCCATGAGAATTGTGGTGTGGCGCATCGTAATTTAAAGTTGGAGAACATCTTCCTAGATAGAGAGGGTCACGCAATCATCAGCGGACTCGGGCTCTGCGCAGTCCTTCCACGAAAGGCACCGGCGTCATTGTCCCCAAGAAAATTCAATTACAAATCTAAAGGTGTGGACATCATGCGGGAGCCCCCTCTTCCGTTACGATTTTGTTTTGGCTCCAAGCATTACGTGGCGCCTGAGCTGATCGAGGGACACCCATATGATGGTGCTGCAGTAGATGTTTGGGCGGCAGGGGTGATTCTTTTCGTTATGTGTACTGGATGTTTTCCATTTGATTCAGAGTCTGATAAAGACGAAGCCGTCTTTAAAAAAATACGAGATGGAGATTACACACTTTCAAGTCACGAAGGTTTCAAAAGCATAGAAGAACCATTGCTGCAAGATATTCTCAGAAACATGCTTCGATTCAATCCAAAGGCACGATTTTCAGTCGATGAAGTCATAGAGCATCCCTTCTTGACTAACTAGATAACGTGAAGTAAGGTGTGAATGCGCGCGCATTGAATCAAACCACCAGTGGTAACGCAAAAGGGTTTAAAAGAAAAAAAAGTATATGCATTTCAAAAGTATCAAACAACTACACTAAAATATCTTTATGGAAAGGATCTAAACAAATTATTTATTTGCACCCGTCTTCAATACGTTTTGCTTATTGATTTATTTATTTATTTAGAATACATATATATATATATATATATATGTAATCCGTGTATGGAATGACAATGCCATTTACTTTTTACCGATTAGGAAGCGTCCAAAGAATGTGGCGAGTTTCTTTGAGTGGTGTATTTTTTACAAGTTCTGACACCAGATTCCTGCACACTACTCACCGTTGGTTGTGGTCCTGTGAGCAGTCTTTGTGGAAACCCATATCGTTCGATGTGTTTCTTGAGGATCTCAAGCGTGGAGCCGCCCGAGACACGCAATGGTTGCTTGACTATTTTACCATTGAGGAGCTTTCTCGAAAAATGATGCGTCATGAGCTTACTCCAAGTACCAAGCTCAACCCTTTAGTTAGTATCCACAATGCTCTTTGCCTTACTGCCAAACACAATGACTTGAGGGACGTACACATAATTCTGTCATCTCCACAAAGCCTGCAGTTAGCTGTAGCGTTAGTTCACGAAGGCTCTCTGTGTACAAAGCTAGAGTCCATGGAGATACATATTCACACCTCAGCCCTAAGCGAATGTGATTTGAATTCAGAAGATATGCTTGGTCATGAGAGTTATAAAAATAGTCTTGGGGAGCTTTTCCAAGCCCTGGAAAACTCTGAGGGAACTCACAGCCCTCTGCGACGGCTAAGCATTGTCATGATAGACGACGCGACGGGGCCGCTGGCGTCATGGAACGACGCTGTGGTCTCAGCTTTGTCTTCTTTATTACTTCACTCTCATCTATCTTATATCCGGTTAAACTACATGAACCTCCAACATTGTAGCGAGTCATGTCTCACAAAACTTGTAAATGCCCTATCCAACTCCAGTCATACCCTGCGCAGTCTTGAGATCAAGGCGGTTCCGAAGCTAGTAAAGCTAGTCCTTGAGAAGGAAATGCTTAGTCAGTGTAGAGAGCTGCAATGCTTAAGTCTTTCCCACAATCGCCTTGGTGATAGATGGAATGTACAGCTAGTAAAAGACTTGAACGATAGTGTTGGTGGGTGGCACCAGCTGCACCAACTTGCGCTTACCCAATGTGAGGTTAGCTCCTATTTTCTCGAAGTGCTCTACAAAACTCTCGTGAGTCGAAAGGGGGAAAGGAAAACGGAGGTTGAAGACACAACAGGTCCTATAGCTCGTATCAAGCAGTTCAATCTTGCCTCAAATGAACTCACGGACGACGCCATCTTTCATCTCTCTACTTGTCTGATGCAATGCCCCTTCTTGACACAATTGGATCTACGTCATAATTCTATGTCCAAGAGTGGTGTTAAGCAGCTTCTAAGTAGTCTCACGCATGCTCCCTTGTTGCGATGCCTTCGGTTGCGTTCTAATCGGCTAACCGACGAAGGGATTCAAAGTCTGTCCTCATATACTCAATACTGGAAGGAACTTGAAGAACTCGATCTTACCCGTTGTCGTCTCACATCTCGGTCGCTCGTGGACTTGGCCACTGCTATTAAATCCACTCCACAGCTGCGCGTCTTCCGAGTGTCTGGTAATGACTTCCGTCCAATTAAAGGCAGTGGTACTCTTCTGTCAAAAACACGGGGTGATAATACAGTTTCTGTGGGAGAGAGCGAGCTTAAATTATTTGCTTATGGACACTCATATATGCGGCCTGGGGATAATGCTGAAAGCGGCACCAGGGTCCACTGCGATGTCCGAGTTCCAACCTCATATGAGATTGACCGTCGTGACCGTGAAACAAGGCGGGTGCGCTACCGCGACGCACAAGAAATCGTGCAGGAAATGTCTGATCAATCTCGTGAAGCTTTAACAAATCCTTTTCAGGTGTTTGGTGCGGCTCTTAGCAGCTGTCAGCAGCTTCGTGTTTTGGACCTCAGTGACTGTTCCCTACAGGACGATGGCTTTGCCTCTATAGCGTCCGGTTTGAGTCTTCCACAACTAGAAGAGCTGCATCTCAGTGCTAACCCTTTGTTTGTCAAGGGTGGAGCTTCCCTTGAGGGACTCATACAGGCTCTATGGTCCGCGACAGAGACTTTGCGAACACTTGATCTTTCCTTTCTTGGCCTCGGAGACTTGGGTATCTCAGCCTTGTGTGATGGACCATTAATAGAAGGAGACGAAAGTAAGTTGGGTGTGCTGGGGGAACTCAAAAAACTCGAAGTACTCAGCCTTTCGCACACTAACGCCGGAACCCTAGGTATTGAAGCGGTCCGCGAGACCGTCGCCGAGCTACCTCAGCTGCGAGCTCTTTTTCTGGATAGAAACAGATGCTCAGGACAAGACCTGGTCGAGCTTCTCTCAAGTTTATGCTGTCTTCGGCAACTACGCTTTGTCGCCCTGACAGAGTGCGTACCAAACCAAAAAGACCACAAACAAGTTATATTGAGCAAGGGTTTTGAGAATTTGCGTGAATTAGGTGTTGGAATTGCAATATGAATATTTATTTTATTAAAACATTGTATAAAATGATTGAATAAACCTAGTGAACGATGCAAGTAACAATCAAAAAGTGGGTTTATCATTCTTCTTCTTCTTTATATTATACTCTCAAGTGGATTGAGGCATTTTTTATTAAAAATAAAAAGGTAGGGATATCAACACAGTCAATGCCCCCCTATAAGGCAAACAAGGATACAGTGCGTGTCTGGGGTAAACGTCCGCGAGATGATGGAAAACAACACAATGAGAATGGCGGCAATGCTTTTGTGCGCTTTAGTGAACTATCCCCGAAGGAAAAGTTACAACAGCGGAAGATGGAGCGAATAGAAAAGAAGGAAAGGGACCGTAGAATGTCTTACTTTATGTCCGTTCAGCGGGTCATCGAGGAATGCGCGAATAGTGGCGGCGATGCCTCAGTATCCATTGGGATTGTCGATGGTTTTTTTGTAGAATTGATGAAACTTCTCAAAGCGGATCGCAGTTTCTATATATTGCGTAATGGTAAAATATGTCGCGTCATTGAAGCAGCGCTGAAAAATTCACCTCTGTTGCACTGCAAGTCACTCCTGTTTGTCTTTCTGGGGCACATCGTAGAACTAATCACCTCCCCTGTCGCTAGCTACATGTTAGAAACCTTGTTTGCCAGCGTGTCGAGAGCGCTCAGTAATTTAGAGGATCAAGGGGCGCTGGCATCTGAGATGCTAATGGGGGGCCCTGGTATGCACGCGGAAAGTGGTGTACCCAGCACAGCTACTTTATTGCACTCCGTAATCGAGGAGTTATGCGAGTCTTCGGAGGATATGCTGGTCCATGAGGTAGGATCCCGTGCGTTGCGCTCAATAATACTTGTATTGGGAGGCCTTACCATTCGTAATGAACCGCCGGCGGTTCATCCGGTCTGTTTCACCGATAACCTGGGGGTACTGGCTACCGCTCTCATTTCAGCGTTGGAAAAGGGTTATTGCCGTGAGTACGGTACTCCGGGGCCAGCCGAGGCGTGGATGGCGGCAGCGCGGGACAATACCTGCAGTTTTGTGGTTCAAAGCCTTCTGCGGGTGAGCGAAGAGGGCAGTCCAACAGACTTGGCGGTGCGCCAGCGCCTTGAGGGACTCTGGTTCAACTCCAAACCCCTCTTGCAGGTGTTCCTACTTGATTCCATAGGCGTTCACATATTTCAGGCTTATCTGAAAGTTCCCACACCAGAGGCAGTTCTAAACGCGGGTGATCAACTCTCCCTTTATCAGCACGCCAGGTTATCATCGCCTGTAGGCAGTCTAGTTAGCGGCACTGCTACGAAGCAGCAGTGTTTACATTCTGTCGATGTAAAAGATGGTGACGAACCTAGCCAAGGTGGTCCATATGGCAAGAAGGCAGAAGTGTGGTCCAAAAAGCAGCTCTTGGAAGAGTGCTGTTGGGGAAAGGCAATGCGACTAATACAGGGTGAATTGAGCCAATTGCTTGACACCGCTAGTGAGCGTGTCGCGCAAACTGGCTATGTGTTGCAGGATCTGACCCTTTACAGTCCCACCGCAGCGCATCTCCAACTGTTATGGGAAGAGGTTATACAACCATATCTTTCACACTTAACCAAAATTCACAGCTTAGGTGGTGTACTAACAACACTATTGAAGAAATGCGCCTTTAGTGGGCTAGTGGTTGCGCCAAAAGAGGGTAAGAGTGAGTCAAACAGCACCACCACTCCTTATGATCTAAGTACAGTTCTCCGAGAGGACGAAAGCAAGGGTGTGCGTTATTTTAGTGTTCCGTTGAGCTTCGAACAGCTTGTGGCTAAAGAATTGTGCATGCTGTTCAAAAGTGAAGTGCCGAAAGGAGCAGCACAATACCTTTTAGTTGAACGACGCCTAGGAGAACAAAGCTATGAACTTGCACGATACATTTTGCACTTACGCTCTCCTGCGTCCATCTTGCTACGCCAGGGCATAGATAAACTGCGCTTGGAGGATGTCCTGAACCTCTGCAAGCATCACAAAGGAAGTTTAGTGTTGCAACAATACCTTCGTGCGAGCAGTAGTGCACAGTCCTTCATCAAGCCCCATGTTCCACGAAATCAAGGTAATGGTGTTAATTCTGTAAGTGGACACATAGAGAGCAAGCCTGAGGTTGATAGTGCTGAAAAGGGTGAGGTGGTGCGCTTTTTTAGGCGGATTCAATCCCACATAGAAGACCTGGTAGGCGATAAATATGCTACATTTGTGGTCGAAATGCTTTATGAGGTAGCCAGTATAGGACTCAAGGAGTCTATAGTCAAAGCCCTTATCCCCATTCACGAAGCTCTAAAACCTTCTTTTAACTCAGAAACACAAGGAAATGAATTATCCAAGGATGCAACTTCTCAAAGTTTCATATCACGCAAAGTGCTACACAAGTGTTGCGTAGAACAGTATATATATCGTCAGGAGGACTGGAGAAAAACGGCGCAGCTTCAATGCCGAGTGCAGCGACTACTGCAAAGCATTGTTTTGGACGGATGATGTGCATGGTGTTTATGCTTAGGAGTTCTTATTTTAGTTTTTAATCAAGACGATAGTAACCGAATAATTAAGCTGATGGTTTATTAAAGAAACGTAAATCATTATTTAAATGGAATCGAGTAAATAACAAGTCACATTTGGAATAAAAACACGCTAACTTGGCAATTCTGCAATGAGAATTTTTTTTATAACAAGAATGAATCTTTCTGTATTGTGCTTCAATTAATACTCTCAACATGTGCAACTATCATTTTATCACATCCATTGTTTTTATAAATAAGCATGCAACAAAATAATAAAATATACTATATGTGTTTTGAAAGCACGTGTTCGTCGCTACTGTAATCTTTGAACGTGTGTCTGGTATCACAAAACTGGAGGGAAAACGAGAAATGTGCAGCTTGCATGCCTCAGCTCCGTCGTTCGAAGAGGTGCCACCACCACTCAGCACGTTGGTGAATTTATACAAGGGATATTGCATTCAGGAAGGTTGCAGAATTAACTCTGCAATGATAGAGTATATGAAAAACAACCTTGTGCTTCAACAAGTCACGTTAGCTAACAACTACGTAGGTCCCAAAGGTTTGCGACCTGTTATTCAACTTCTCAATATGTGCCAAACTATCACATATGTCGATTTCGATAGCAATGGGGCAGACAACACCACAGTTGAGCTCCTTTGTGATGCACTAAAGAACCATATAGGTGTGACTACTCTCATCCTGCGCGGGAATCCCATATCCAGTACTGGTGGGAGGCGACTGCTCCAGCTTTTGGAACTTAATCCACGCATCATACACATTGATGTTCAGGATACTGACATCCCCAAAGCGTTGCAAGAGCGCATCTCAGCTTTAGTGGACCAAAACTTCCGGCGGGCGAAGCACCATACCCCACAACTTGTTGAGGCTAACCACACCATCAAGAAGGGTGCTGCTCAAGAAACCGTGGCTCTAACTCAGAAGAATGTGGTTTCCCTTCCTAAGCTCCCACACCGTGTGTGGAAGGCAGCAGATGCCAGTGTGAATAAACCAAAGGTTACTGTGGAAGCTGTGGCGCAGTCTTCTACTAAAAGTAGCAACAATACACCAGTGCTAACTCTACCGTTAGCTGCACACAACACACAACAGTTGTGTGACTCTGCTAACACTCCTGCTATACTGCCTCCACATACAACAAATGAATCACCGCAAATGCTCAACTCCTTTCTAACAGCTGTCCATCAGAGATTTGAAGAACGCGCTCGATTGTATTCGGAAATCAATAAAGGTGAAATGTTCAACAAGGTGGCTGAGGTTCGGGCCGAAGTCGCCGCCATAGAAAGGAACAGTCAACTGAGACTGGTAGCGAGTAACAAGGTAGACGCATTGCCACAGACACTATGCCGAAGGGCGTCTGAAACAAACACCAATACAGGGACCACGACGCATGTTATGGGCATCAGATCTGAAGAGCAAAAGCGAGAAGAACATGACTCTTCAGCCTCCTCTACCCCCTTGAAAAAGCAACAAGTGACAGATTCTATAGTAGCGACAGATTTCATGGAAAGTAGAAAACACAACGATACTAACGATGGCAAAACAAACGGTAACCGTGCAACCGAAGTAGCTACAGTGGAGGAAAAGAACGCCCTTAAGGTGCTGGTACCGCGCTTTGTAGCCTCAAAACATTTTAAAATATTGGAGGTGGAGAATCAAAATGGAGGGATGTTGGCAACCGAAACAACGATAGGTATGTCTACTGATGAACGCTTTCAAGTGCTTTTTGATAATGGCTGTGATGCTTACGCTCAAAAGGACCTTGATGCCGCGTACGTGGCCTGGAACGATGCTCTTGACATTGCAGTTCAAAAGAATAATAGAGAATGGATAGCAGTGCTTAATTCTAATTTGCAGCGCCTGAGCTATGAGCTGGTAGTCGAAGAGGGCGTTGTTTATTTAAATAATGGTTCCCTTAATAAAGCTACTGAATCCTTCCAAACAGCTCTTGACATTGCAAGAAAAGCCTACAATGCCGCTTGGATCGCAGAAATGAAAAATGCATTAAAACATGTTCAAAGAGCTCTCTTTATGCGCTGCTATGATGCAGCGAACGAACTTTTCCGTCAAGCGAAGGAAGACTGCGAAGTCAACAAGCGTACCAGCTCCGAAGATGATAGTGATGATATATCCTACTACATTAATCCAGTCACAAAGCAAAAGATGCGACATTCCATATATTTTATCTGTGAGTTGACCACCGTACGGTTGATTCGAGACGCAGTCAGGATGTGGGCTGAGGCGTACCGCGCAGCGCAGCGCGTCAGTGGTGTAGATGCCGATCCCCTTAAAGCCAGTCTTGAGAAGGTGTTGGATGGTGTTGCGCGGTTCATCTTCGAGCAACACATCGACATTGAGGAAGGTGGAACAGGTCTCGACACAAACTATCCTAGTTGGCAGCGTACCTCACGATATCAACACTTGGAGCGCGTCGTTCTAGCGGAAGTGTGGTTTGATATCTTCTGCTGTGTGGATCAGGGTATTAATCACGTGTTTATGAAGGTTGTCGTCTCACTCCAGCTTGCAAACCTACATATGGGCAACAACCAGCTGGAGCAGGCGGAGAAGCTGTTTATCTCTGCTGTGGATAACAGTAAGAAGCTCCAATACAGGCTTCTAGAAGCAACGGCCCTGACGTATCTTTCAACACTTTACTGGCTACGCTCCTCACACAGCTTGGCAGAAAGGACCCTACTGGCTTCCATTCAACACTGGGAAGATATACTAGCAACATCACATCAGGGGAAAGATGAAATCAATGTGCTAGGGGGCATCTCTATTCCAACATTTAGTATGCTTTTGATGCAGAATGCATGTAACGCATACCTTGTGTGTGTACTAGCTTCAATGTACCGTTACTGTGAGGCTATAGAGCAGCTGGAGCACAAACTCATCCACGAAAATAGCGATTTGCTCTCGAATAAAATGCTGAATGCCTTCTGTGGTCACCCGACAATAAATCAGATCGCAGCGATAGCTTCTAAAGTACAGACGCCCTTCGTATACTACTTTCCTTTTCGGCGTCTTAGCTACAGCACAGAAACCAATGCCTTTGAAGCCGAGGAGAATCTCCTTATTTGGCTGGTGATGCCCTGCTCTGAGATGCGTTTCGTTGAGATCAACATTACAAAGAATTTCAATGTTTCCATAGATCAATTGGTGCATACAGTCCGTCAGGGACTTATAGTCGAGCCAATTGGTCAGGAGTGCTTGGCAGGGTACCGCAAAGAGGGTAACAGTTATGATGACACTGGAACTGGAATCATAACCCTCCATCGTAAAGCATGGATAGAACCACTTCAGCTTCTCTATGAGATCCTAATTGAGCCTATCTACAGCCATATTATGGCTCTCGATTTGGCAGCTGCTAGCAAGGACCATCCTGAGACCGTTCTGACCATCATCCCCACTGGTACTCTGTGGTCTGTCCCCTTTCATGCCTTACTCTCCAAATCGGAGCAGTTTTTGGTGGAAAATATCGCTATCCAGCTTTCCTTTAGTGCAACACAGGTTGCATTTGCTTCCCTCAACGCGGAGCGGGTACGACAACAAAATCTGCACCGCAACGTTGTGGTGGTGCCGCTCGAGATTGCTGCAGACACGGAGGGTCTCTCGCTGATGTACGCGATTAATATGGAGCGCGCGTTGGAGGAGGGTGAAGCTGTGCTGGATGTCTTAAAAGACGCCAAGTGGAAACATATCCGAGATGCCTCTGAGGATAAAGATCACAGGGGGGTAGAGATGGTAGGCTCAGAAGTCGTGGTGAGAAGCGCGGAATCCTTACGTAGCATGCTGAGCCGTTCCTGTATCTTACACATCACAACACCAATCAGTGTAACGTTAACTAGCCCTCCTGACGCGTTGGCGGAGAGTTGTGGTGATCTCACTCCTAGGGGAGCCCTATGTTTTCCCACGGACGCTGGCCGTGTGGAGCTGGTAACGGCGCGGGAGCTTCAGCATTCTGAACTCTTTGCGGAGCTCGTGACACTAACTAATGCTAATATGAATCTGACAGGTGTCTGCAGCGTGCGGGATGACGTTCTTGGGGTGATACGTGCTTTCTTTAGTGGTGGGGTACCTTGTGTGGTAGCTGGTCAATGGTGCACCCCCGACATGATACCGTCTTTGCTTTTCAGGAAGTTCTATGAGGTGATGACGAAGAATAAAAGTAATAGCTGCGTTGTTGTCCATAAGTCTAGAAAAAGCACGGCAACAGTGCCGGCCGTGGCAGTCCATAAGGCTTTGTATCTAGCTCTGGCTATAAGGCGGCTACTTAAAGAGGATGAGTATTTTCGCTACAATCCACGAGCGTGGGCCGGTTACTATTGTTTCGGGTGCGGTTATTTTTAGATTAATAGTTTGCCTCACGTTTGATGTGCGGTTCATCGGTTACACGTGTATCGTTTTTTTTTGTTATCATTTAAAGAGGATGTAATATATCATTTAAGACATACCATATATGTGGTAATTTTTTTTGTTTCCATAATCTTTCAATGAGGGAAATGAGGTTTGTATGTATGAAAATGCACGCTATCTACGTTTTTGTTTATGGTTTATGGGCCTTTCTCAGCTAACTCTCCTAGATGAAAACATTTACAGGATCTTATCATGAATGGAGACAAGTATGTAAACAGAGCACAAACTGAGACTACCCTCTGAAATGTGAATTTAGTTTTTGTCGTCTTTTCCAATTCAAAAAAAAAAATGAAAGTGGATTTCTTCTTTTTAAAGTTCCTTCCTATTTTTTTTTATGTCTTTTTTGTGTTACATATAGTCATATTTAGAGTTTCACTGTATCTGAAGGCAGTAAAATATTTAAATATAATTATCAATAAATCAATATATATATTTATAGATATCTATATATATTTATTTTATAAGTTTTAACGAGTGAGACTTTACACTAGCAATTATACTGAGGCTCTTTCTCATAATTTTTGGTGTGTTTTTATTATTTTATTTCAAACATTCGAACCTTCTATTTGAGAAAAAATGTTCAGTGGAACGCATAATGTTCTTTTCTTTGGAACCATTGCAGCCACAATCATTGGAAAAGAAGTCTATGATCAAGTAGCTTTGGACAAGCTTAAATCTCAGGATGCCTTTATTCAACTTCATCTGACAGCGTCCGCTGAATTTCAAGGCGCAGAAGAAGTGATAGGCTCTACCTCAACTTCAGGACCTTACAAGTTGAATAGCACAGCAGATGCAACAAGTCTGCACGCTAGCTCGCAGTATCTATCAGTTATAGTGGAATGTGTGAAGAAAGACACTTTAGATTCAATGCTTCGTGATCTGAAATACACAGATGATAGTTTAGGAGACAGCACTTGCGTAGAAACAGACACACATTTTCATCCAACTGCTGTTACGGTCAATATTTCGGCTGACATCTTTCGTAGTGGCTGCAAGCCCAGTATCATTGCTAATAAGCAGGTTCACCTCCGCTCCCTTGCGGAGCGGGCAGTCAAGGATATGTGCTGCGTTGTGCGTATCACCATTCTTCAGCAGCTTTTGAAACAATCCAGTGTTGCACCACTGACACTAAGCGATGTGGAAAATGCCACAGCGAGTGGCTGCAGTGGTAATAATGCTGTTGTGGCCATTTATGTGTTGTTGCGTGTCGTAGACCTGTCCAGAAACCTCAGCAGCGCGTTAGATGCTGAGGTAAAACTGCAACGTCAAATGAACTTTCCAGAGCCAGATTGTGGATGGGACTTGTCCTTCACACGCAAAGTCAAGGTTCCATATGGTGTTATGCCGCTAACACAACTTTACGAACAATACCGACAATTTTTTACAAAGTACTACAACATGAACATTAAATGTTCAGCTGAGGTACTGCAGATGCTGCGCGTCACACGGGAGGGAACCAATGCGCCGTATCCTTACCGATGGAATCTCCTTTCAAATGTGTATCTTGATCAAGTCTTGCTTGGTGAAAAGGGGTTTGCGCCTCTGTTACTAACCCTGTCTCACTGTACTAATCTATCTTCCCTCATCGCGAGCAACAGCAACCTCGGTGATGTGTCATGCGCGTGGATCGGCGCCTTGTTCCACAAGCACCGTTACCTTCATACGATCTCTCTCACCACTAACAATATCTACGAGGGTGGTGCCGATCAGCTCTTGCGCCTTGCCCGACGAAATCACCGGCTCACAAAGCTTCAACTGGACGGCAATCACTGTTCCAAGACGATTATGGAGCGCCTCTTGTGTGTGACAAAATCCAACTTGGGCAGGATGCAGAACGACCCACTTAACATCACATCATCAGCTTATGCCGAAATCACTTCACCGGCCAGTATCCCTGTGCCTGTAATAATGTTAGCTTTGCAAATGTGGGCTATGCTTGCGGTGGCGCCGGTTGGTGACGTGGATGTGTGGGTTCACAACAGCACCACCACAGACATGGATCAATACGAAGACAGTTCTTTCACAGACCGCACTGAGGCCTTCGAAGCGACTGAAAAAGAACCACGGCTCAGCATCCCACTGATTGCTCACGCGCCTCTTCTTAACGAGATCATGCGCACTGTTTACATAGGAGTTGCGCCAGCTATCGAAGATCCGCTCGTGCGCACTATCTTCATGGATATTCAGGCGTTACATCAGCAACGGGAAGAACTCCGAAACAAGGAGATTAATAAAGCGAATTTACAAAGCGCAGATAACTTTGTGGAGCCTTCTGCGTACGAGAACGACAAAAAAGACAGGTTGAGTATAGGCAGAGAAGATAACGGTGAAGTTTTCATTCCTAATGAAATTAAACGACTACTCGAGAAGGATTTGGATTGCGACGGGGCCGCCGCATCTGTTCACTCAGGGTGGGTCGAGGAGGAGGAAGAAATCTACCAGTCCTCCTTCCTGAACATCATAGTCACCACCTTTCGAGCGCTCGCTGGAGGGAGTAGCTGGGCCGACGCGGTACAAAATTTGCGTCACATTGGAAAGCTACAGCGAGAGATCGGGGTGCGAAATGAAGACTACTGTCTCGCAGCTAATATTTTTATGAAGTCACTTCAAATATGCCTCGGTAACGAAGAAAATTCCATAAAGATGTTATCTGCCTTTTTTAACGTGATGGTGCTTGGAGTGCGCGCAGCTGTTTTTTCCCTTCCATCGGAAAAGGCCTAACGTGAGGAAACTTGCCACGACACCAATATAATGGGATAAAAATATAAAGGACCAAACACAACTCAAAGGCATCTTCATTTTACTGCTTAAGAGGGTGGTAGTATGAGCGTGTGTGCTTGTAGTGAATTACTATTTTGATTATTTATTTCTGTACTCACTCTTTATTCCAAAATAAACCGACGTTCTGTGTGCTGGGGGAGGGGTGGGGGGGGGGGGGATATGAAGGGCATGAGATGGGTTAGTTATCGCTCTGTAAACAGTAGCATGAAGTGATAATAGTAACAATTCGGAATACAATGTCGTGCTGTGTTTGGAATCCCTTCATGGTGTATATCTCAAGTTCATATATCCTAAGCTTTTAGGAACTAAGAGAAGAAAAGCAAAGAAGGAAGGACATCCACGCTTCGCAAATCACTGTATTTACCTGCCTCTGTAGAAATGGGCTTATTCCTAAAGAAAAATGTAAAGGAAACACTACATGTACGTTGCTTCCATACCTATGAATACACCTACACTGAAGATAACAATATGTATGTTATACCAGCAGTGCAGAGTCTTATGTTCTTAATTCTATTCATCGCTCTTGTGGGGGAAGTCAGCCTCGGAGAGATGTGTCCAAAGTGTCATTTCAATAGTTTGCGTAATCTAATGAACACCCAGAGTGGAAGGTCTTTATTCGGTGTGGGCCAAGCATAAGTTCAGAAGAGAAATGTGGAGTTTTATTTCTAAGTTTTGGTACTGGTATGCACAATGTTTCATAAAAGTTGTTTCCCTTTTTACCAAAGGATTGCCCAATTATGTGTAGCGCACACTAATTTACTTTTATAAATTATTTATTTCAGAATATGTATACTTGTTTAACTCTGATTATTTTTTTTATCAATTTGCTCATAATACCTTGCTTTAATAGTCTGGCATGGTAAAAGTGATAAATCGATAACATATTGTGCACACCACGTCATCTATCTAGACTGTCTAGCCTCCGTAGATCTTATAGGACTTATTCTCCCCTCGCAGTGTGTACTTCATGGAAATGAAGGAAGCCATAGTAAGTACGAGCAACATTTCAAATCAAGGTGCTAGCCTCACACTGACAACTAATGGGCCTCGACTTCCTTCTATGAGTGAGGTTACACTCCGTATGTGTCACCTGAAGGCTGTACTTTTAAACACCGCAACTACCGATTCCGTGACGAGTCCTATCCGTCTTGCTACGCAATCGCTATCCCTTGAAAAAGTCGTAATTAAGCCGACGGAGCTGGATCGAATTACAATCCTTTGCGACTTGCTGGGTGATGTCTACTCATGGGCTGTTGAGGAGGGCTCCACGTTCGTTAAGGAGCCCAGCATACTCGCACAGGAGGGGGTGCCGGTGGTGGTCTACGCCTGTCTACGCTGCCAACGTCCCCGCGTGGTCACCGCGGCGTTGCGGATTGCGCGTCACCTGTTACGTCATCCCGCAGGCTCCGTTGAACTCCACCGAGTCGTAGGTCATTCCTACACCACACACGACGAGGTATGTGTAGAGAGTGGAAGCGGTCCGCTTTCGTCTTCTCAAAAAATGATTCGACTCCTTGATGGGCTTCTGCATAACTTCTTAAATTCCGCCGAGTTGGTTGCAGCAACAGTCGAGGTGGCTACGGAGCTTTCTTCGGGAATGGGGTCCTTTCGCTACACAGCGGACGATTTCATCGGCACCGATTTCTTGTCAAATGCGCTGAACGTGTGGGAGTTGCATGGGGAAAACTCGCTTGTGGTGAAGGCTGCAGTGAAGTTTTTTGCGGCCTTCGTACAGTTACGCCGAGAGCCTCCGACAGAGGCCCCTGTAGCGGTTCTCGTCACCCATCTTGGCTGGGTATTAGGGGCCATGGTAAGAGCTATCCACACATATGCTGGAAACACGTTTATCCGAAAGTTTTCCTTGAAATTCTTCGCCGTCTGCGCGCAGTACGACCAAAATAGGGGGCGTTTAATCCAAGCTGGCGCATACACCGCCGCAATGGCAGCGTTGATGGGCAAGGTTGGGGAAATGAGTGATCTGGATATGTTGGAGCCAGCAGTTGAATGCGTAAGTTACTGTATACCTCTGCTTGATAGCTTCCAACGTCGTAGCCTTCTCTTAGGGATACGTGGTCTGTTAATGCATCGTGGTGAGATTGACGTGATGCGGCTTACGCTAGCACTACTCTACCGGTTTTTATTGGAGCTTCCACCCTCTGTACTACAGGATCGGCACAGCTTATACACACAGCCTGATGCCTTTGAGTCTGAAGAAAGTCAAAATAGACCAGATAAACTTTGTGATAAAGGAAAATGTATGATAATTGAGCCGAGTGATCTACTGGATCACCTGTCTTTAAGCCAAGACACTAGAAAGTTTATGTATCGTCTATGTATCCCACAGCTAACGATGCATGTGGTGGATTATTATCGTAAAGAGATAGAAATTCTGATTATGAATTCAGGTGATAATGTTAATAATGGAGAGGATGAAGAAGACATTATGCAACAGGGCATGGAACAAGTCTTTGTTCTGGCGCAACGCTGCATGGCTGTGATGAGTCCCTGAAAAGTATCTAGACGATTACTGAGGTTATGAACAAATTGCAGCATGAACAAGCCTGCGGGGGGTTTCACAATGCATAAAACGATTGTCCTTCCTTATATAATAATACATATTATTGTTTTATTTTTTCCTTTTTTTTATTTTAGAGTTTTCCATTTAAATTGTTAACAATTCACGCAACCCTAAACATCCATCATTGTTGATGTATATATATATGTATAGGACGCAGCTTCATTCCTTCTTTTGTTCTAACTTAAGTTTATAAAGGGTAACTTTATGAGTCATTGGAAATTCTCCTTACAATCACACACACTTTAGGAGGGCGAAGAATTCAAGAAGAATGCCACTCAGTGAGTCTGAGCTCAACGACTTCACACTTCAGTTCCTCCTTTTAGACACTAATTCTGATGGCTTCGTGGCCACTGACCAAGTAAAGTCCCTCCTACGCTCCCTGGGTTTCTACCCGAGTGAAGTTGACATCGAGCGTGTGATATCATTAGTTGATAGTAAAAAAGATGGTCTCATTAGTAAGGAAAACCTTCTCCCTGTTGTTGAAAAACTTTATGCGCAGAAAAGTCAACACAACATAGAAGCGGAGCTACGTGTGGCTCTCAGAGTACTAGACGAGGATATGGATGGATACATTACAAGTGGGCAGTTGCGTCATATTCTGCTAAACATGGGTACACCGCTACAACGCGAACTAGCAGATATTATTCTTGACGATGTTGAAAAGGATAGCTACAATAAAATAAGCGTCGAAGAGCTTATCACCATGCTTCTAAATTCTTATATATGAAGAATTCAAGGGGATACGTTCAACCTGACGCGGCACAGAGATCTGTACTGTGTGAATTTGTTTATCCAAGATCTCGTGAAGAAAGTCAGAGAAATGGGAAGAAATGTAATCATGGTATAGACCCGTGTTCAAAAAAAAAAACTGATGTATAGAAATACATGAAATAGCATGATTGCTTGAATAAACTGTTCAAGTTGTGTATTAAAATTGATTTACTTAAATGCACTTCGATTTTCAGGGATTTTGAACTATTTAATAGTCTCCTTTATTCACTTCAATTTGTATGTTAAAGCTTTAAATAAAGCTTGCCGCGACTCTTCAGATATATAATTCTAGTATCTGAGTTTTCGCAATAAGTCATTTACTTGGGGGATAGTTAAGAACCTCGCATATTAAACTTTATTCGTACACATCCCACAGTGATCGCCCTGATAACTGTTGTTGAGACGCTAAGCAATGTTTCATGTGCATTTAGACAATTGAGCAGTGTAAGAATATAGCAACCCATGACGTCCATCGGCCAACGTGCGGTTCTATTCATCGATAATGGTGGGTTTAACATTAAGGCAATGTATCTGCCCCCGTCATTCAAGACGCCGGTCTTTCTCACCGTTCCGAACTGCGTCGGTGCAAACGCCCATGTCGGTCGTGGTATTATTGGTGAACAAATGCACCAGTTGCCTCAGTATCACGGCTTTCTCGTGCGCCGCCCAGTCGATCGTGGCTTCATTGTGGATATCAATCTGCAGGTTCGGGTGTGGGAGTATGTCTTGCAATACTTTGGCATCGCGAATGAGCAGGATACCGACCTGTGGCTGACGACCCCTTTCGGCGCACCAAAGGCAGTGGCTAGTGTCTTGCACCACCTCCTCACCGTGAAGTTTCACTTCCGTGCGGTGACGTTTGTCAGTAGTTCTTTTCTTGTGCTTCTTTGCTACGAGAGTACGGCACACCGGTGGGCAGAGAGCCATATAAATACTAGTGATATGCATGGAAAGACTCGAAAGCGAACACGTGGTGGAAATGTAATGAAGTCAGGGTGTGGAGTGTTAGTAGATTTGGGGTTCTCTCACACTACACTGGTGCCGTATATAGGGTACAATCCTGTTTACTCCTCAATCATCCGTATTGACATTGGCGGCAAATTACTAACAAACCGTCTTAAGGAACATATTTCCTTCACACAAACCAATCTAACAGAGGACAGCTGGCTAGTCAATCACATCAAAGAGCGATGCTGTCGTGTCGCCATGCATCCCCGAGAGGAATTAAAACAATGTTGCGAAACTGCAGGCACGAGCAGAGTTAAAGTGGGTTCTGGATTGGAAGGGAAAGCCCAAAGCAGTGCCGTTGTGTATTATCTCCCCGCGGTCCCCGCTCTACATCCTCTGGGCTGTCTCTCAACAGAACTGCCGAAATCATTTATTCAAACCCAGTCACAGGAAAAAGAATGTGATGAAAGTACTCATTTACCAAGTCTCTGTCTTAATCAAGAATGCTTCCTTATTCCAGAGCTGCTTTTTACGCCATCAGATGTTGGGCTTGACCAAATGGGCCTTGTCCAGGCACTAACATCGGCTATCCCACGACGTGGAATGCTAGAGCAAATGCAAATGATGACAGACGTGGTAATGTCCAACATCTACGTTTTTGGGGGTGTAAGCCAATGTCCAAACCTCGTAGAGCGTCTTCGCCGTGAGGTGCAAGAAATACTACCAGATTCAATTGTTCCTTGTCCTACTTTAATTTGCAGCACACTATTGGAAAAGTCAACACTTAAAAGGGAAAAAGAGAATGCTTCGCTTCTGCCACTGTGTGGGGCTAAAATAATTCTAGTTGGAAATGATGTTAACATGAGGAAATGGAGAAAAATGGCTCGAAGACGCGCTACAATAGTGATTAGTGGACACAAAAGGATCACGGAAAGTGACATATATGAAAAGTTACAAAATATTGCTTAGTTACACTAATTAATGGTAACTTCCCATACTAAAAAATTCAAAAACAGAACACAAGTAAGAAATATGAATTTGTCAAACAAAGTAGAATCAAATTACATGGGTGTTTCCAACAAAGTTCCTAGCATAAAACTAAGCGTAACTCGTCTATTA